TAGAATTATCGGTGAAATGACCGTTCAGGCACCTGACATTTAATAGTTTTTAAGAACATGCGTCATGAGAAGTTTTTAACGCAAAAGGAAAAAGACTTACAAAGGCCGAGGAGACTTCCTGTGGAGGAATGGGGAGATCTTCATCCTGCGGATGGATCGGCAACTCGGCCGTGGCCTCGGGATCGGCCATGGGTCTTTTGCCGCGATCCGCCGCAGGAGGAGTCGGTCGAGCGGTCGCCTCGACGACCAGAGGAGGATGGACGGGAGGAGTGCTGACTGGTAGGCGACGGCGTTCCAGGGGGACTTCTTCGCTCTCGCTCTCGGCATCCTGAACGAAAAGAGAAACAAACTTCAGCGTTAGGGCCAAAAACCTAAAGGAGCGAGCAGAAGTAGAATTATACCTCCAGAATGACCGTTGGAGAAGAGGGTCCCTCGACGGGCGCAGCCGGCTTCTCCACGGCAGGCGCCACGACTGGCTCTGAGGCTGGAGCTGGGGCGCCGATAGGGTCGGCTGTGGCCTCAGAGCCGGCAGGAGCAGCCATCCCTGTAGTATCACTGGGGACGACATGAATTTCCCGGTCGCCCTTCTTCGCCAATTTCTTGACGCGTTTAGAAGGGCAAGGGGCATCAACCTCCGGCTCGGCCGCTCGGTGGGGGCGTTTGGCTGGAACTACCCGCTCGGTAGCGATGGTCCTTTTCAATTTTTTCGCCTTCGCCACCGCGGCGACCACCTCCACCTTCCTCGACACGCGACCCCCTGAAAAGCGAAGTAATTAGTATCAAGGACGCGATGTAAAGAAACGGAAAGAGAAGAAAAGCGGAAAGACTACCTTGGGCCGACTCCTTGGGTTGAGCCGAAGGTGTTGACCCGGGACGGTCGCCGAAGATCTTCTTCACCAGACCTTTGGCCGAGGCGCCGAAGAATTCGCCGGTATACTCCTCCCACCAGTCCCCGAAGGTGTCGGTTCCAAGAGATTCCGGAGCCGCCGGCCGAATCCGAAATTTCCTGCACTTCTCTTGGAACTCCTGGTCCGACGTCTTACATTCCCTTTCAGAGGAACCGGTAAGACGCCCTCGGCTCAGGAGGGATCGAGAGGCGAGCAGAGGGACTGGGCAGCCTTGAAGATAGCCGAGCTGCCGGGCGAGGAAGTGGGGGTGATAAACCTCCCAGCCGACTCGGCGGGCATCGCAACCCAGTGGAAGGTCACGAGCCACAACGAACGATCCCCATCGTTGGCGAATGTCCGCATCCTCGGACGCGGCCCACGTTGCCGTAGGAAGCCCGAGCGAGGAAGGGTACTCCTGGTGCCGGCACACCAGGAACTCGTCATCCGAGAGGACGTCGAGACTGAAGAAGTGTTTGAAGACCTCGTCGGCTCGGTGGGGAGGCGCCGGTCGCGAGGCCAGTTGAGGACCGAGGGCGGCCGTTCGGTCGAAGGCAGGAACCTCCGGTCGAAGGGTGGAAAAGTAGACCTGCAACCAGAGTTGGAACACCCAGAGGGGTCCGTTCTGGTGCGGGTCGATCTTGCCAATAGTCGCCTCAGCTAGGCAACGATAGAGGTTGGCAAGTATGGCTGGACTAAGCGCCAGCAAGCGACCATTGGCCAGTGCCTGGGCCACGAGCATATTCTCCACCAGGCACTTGTTCGACCTGGTACAACAGATGAATTTGTTGTACCAGTAGAAGCGGAAGGCCTCGTGCTCTCCCTTCCTCAGGCCCTCCTCGCCTCGACCGGCGAAATGCAGGATGAGGGTGTTGTAGTTGAAGAAGTTCTTGTGGAGTTTTTGAACTTCTTCCCTTGAGGGCTCCTGATCGCCCCGGCTCAGTGTTTCAACGGCCCTTTCGTCGAATAGCGCCTTCAGGTCGAGAGGAGAAGGGTATCCAGAAAGGGCGGCGTCAATGGGAAGGCCGGTCGGGGAAGTCCCAAGGATGGCCGAGACGTCGAGGATGGTGGGGCCGAGGGGGCCGAAAGGCAAGACCATGGTGTTGGTGGCCGAACACCATAGACTCATGGCCGCCAGGAGCAGCTCCTTATCCATGGCGATCTCCATGGTTGACAGCATAATGGCATCATAGATGCCAAGAGCCTTCCACTCCTTGGAGAAGAATGTGCTCATCCGGTCGACCCAGGCAGCCCAGGCCGTGGTGGTCGAGGGCCAGGCTCCCTGAGGCCGCGCCAGAGTCCACTTGGACCAGTCGAACCCCTGCAGCAAGGGCGTTAAACACTGCTCCTTGAGCAGGTCAGTAACGGACGACGGTACTGCGTCTCTAAAGAGGGGACCCAGAATCTGGTGGGTGATGGCCATGTCCTCTTCAAATCGCAGCGTCTTGACGGTGCTCCGATCAATGAAGTCTTTGCATTTGTTGATCTCCTCGGAAAGTTTCGCGATGAAGGAAGCCATTAGAGTAATCTGGAAGAACTGGAAAGATTGCAGAAAGGAAAACTAGAGGGTTTGGTCTGAACGAGCAAGGATGATTAAAATTTGAGAATTTGGGATTTCTGAAAACGTAAGATACGAGTACAGTAAAGTGTGGGTATTTATAGGCTTTCAGATCGAAGATCAAACGCCCGAATCTCGAAAGGCATTAGAATTCAAAAAGCGATTGGTTTAAAGTGGGGGGAAATTTAACCGGGAAAGCCTGCAATCATTTCGGATATTTTGGGAACCTGCGAAAATGGGATCGAGGAGTCGAAAACCCAGGACGCACGATGGCGTGCGGCGACAGGTTCAATGCATTAATGAGGGTAAGACGGTTCAGTTAGTGCACAGTTTCGAGGCCCATGATTGAAGCTTTTAAGAACGGCGGAGAATTGACGCGTGGCCACGCGTTGGGGGCAACGAGGGATGTGCAATCATGTCTCATAAATATGCAAGAATAATGGTCATTAATGAAGTAGGGTCCAGGAAAGGATTTGTTTTCGCTTCTTCAAGGCCGAAGAACCGACCAAGAGTGACAGTCGGCGACCTCAGAAGCGAGGGGGCAATGTTTGGGCCCAAAATATTATGATTGGGCCGAGCAGCAAGATGTGCTCGGCCCAAGGTAATGACACATGCTATGGGCCGAATAATGAAACCCGGACCAGCTGGCAGGATCGGCCAGATCCTATCTTAAGAAGTCCAGATAAATGAGGAAAGGTCGAGGAAATCCTGGTGCAACCAGGATTCTCGACCGGCAAGGGATAAAGCCTCAAAAGGAGGAGAATTCAGAATCCCAGTAGGACTAGGGTTGTTCGAGTTAAAGGTGAAATGGGGTAAGGACTCCCAATCCAAATCAGAATGGGATTCAAGGAGCGAGGTGCTATAAATACAAAGAAATTGCGCAATAGAAAGGCCCCTTCAGAATCAGCATACAATTGCCCTGCGCAAAACCTCTCAAATACCTTGAGATTTTTCCTTTTCTTTTCCTGCCGACACACCTTCAGTTTGGATAAACAGCACTGTGGAAGCAACCGGTGAGCACCTTCAGTTTGGATAAACAGCACTGCTGCCGCAGAATCAGCCGACCGAGAAGCACCTTCAGTTTGGATAAACAGCACTGCGTCGAGGTCGACCGATTATCTATCTCAGTCTCGGCCGAGAGAGGTTTTCGAACCTTTGTTGGTAGAGGTCATCTTACTAAGCCGTTGCGGCATAGTTGGGTGTTACGTATTGCGTTGCTCGGCGCATTGGAGGCCGAGTGAGTTTATGATTGGATACTCGCAAGTAGGTTTCAGGGTTCGGCATTCCGAGGGCCGAACTACGTTTACCATCAAGACATATATCACATTCGAGTACCTGTGCCCGTATAGTTTGGTCTCAGTTCGGCGTGCTTATACTCTTACGAATATAATCACAGTGGCCGAATCAGGCTTCGACGATTCGTGAACTCCGTAGAATTAGTAGCCTTGTCTTCAGGCTATAGAATCCAGAGACCGAGAGCGTTCCTTCCTCGGTCGCAATCGCAAGATACAGAAGTCAACAGCGCGCTCAACGCGACCACATCAAATTTTACTCCTCGGCCGGGCTCGGCCGACGAGTTGGCACGCCCCGCATTCAACCGAAGGACGTAGTTAGCTCATTAGTTACTCGGCCTGCGCGCCACGTAGGTTTTGTAAATTTTAGAGTCAACAGTTCCATACAACCCTTTCAATTTTCAGCCGTCGAATTAAATGAATTGAAAAAGATAAAAGACATAAATTAACAAAGGATGTCGAGAAGTAAAAATAGTTGCGTAAATAGCACCACCCTAAATTGTATCATTGACAAATTGAGCCATTGACAAATTAAATTCAATAATTAACCAAAAAAATTTAAATCAAATATTAAAAGTCATTCTCAAGAAATAAATAAATGAAAGAAACAAGACTTCTAGAAGTTGTCCACGTCGGACCAGGCTTACGGCTTGACATAGTCAACGAAGTGACCGGCCTGTTTCTTGACAGAATTTGAAGGCCGAATTACAGGGAAATAGATCGAATCTCTTTCTCTAAATGCATCAATTTTAAGGATCAGTTCGTTGAAATTTGATCAAACGATTAAAGTTATTATAAATTTTAAAGTTAACTTTTTTTATAATCGTTTGATCAAACTTCAATAATCTGAATCTCCGAACTTGATAAATTAAGAGGAAGAGATCTGAAAAGGATTTTTTAATTACAGATCGCCACATCACCAAGTTTAGGTGATTTTACAATTTCGCCCTCAGTCAGTTCCCTCCAACCAAAAATCCACAGGCAGCAATGAATCACAAAATTAAATCCCACGCGCTTGTACCCCACTTCCCGGGTGCAGAGAGTGGTCCTCCTCCTTTTGTAGGACCTTCCATTTTTGCGTGCACAAATTATCTTTTAGCTTCAGTCCAATATGATCGGAGATATCAAAAGAGGTATATACATGAACTACAAATCAAACCCCACGCGCCCAATCCCACGCGTCCCGACTCCTACCTTCAGAAACCCCATCGTGTGCCGTATGCGCATTGCGCACCTACACCCATACGGACACCGCCGTTCCCTCCGCAGCCTCCTCATTATATCAACACCAACAACCAAACTACTTTGACAAAAAAAAAAAAAAAACAACCAAACAACAACGCTCGTTCTCTCTCATCTTTTCCCTCTCATCGTTTTCAACTTCGACCCCCGCTAAACCCCTCCTTCCTCCTCTCGGAGCCCTAGCAATGGCCTCCGACGACCTCTCTGCCGCCGTCACCGCCGCCGAAGACGAGAAGTTCGGTTTCAAGAGATCGGAGATGTTCAAGGAAAAACTTGCCGGTACCGTCAACGCCTACGACCGCCACGTCTTCCTCTGCTACAAGACCCCCGAGGTCTGGCCGTCGCGCGTCGAAGGCTCTGAGTCCGATCCACTACCTAAGCTCTTCGCCTCCGCTCTCAAAGCTCGCAAGAGCGACATCGCCGTTAAGGTCCGTTTTGCAGCTCAATTCGTCGGCGTTTCTGATGGCTTTTTCTTACCGTTTCTTATTCCCTGGAGCTACTGAGTTCTGGTGTTGAGCTGAGTTGACTCCGTTACTCACTTTGTTTCTTGGTTTTTGATAGACGTTGCTGACAGTAATTGAAGGACGCGAAGGAACTGAGTTTTCCGATGGCGATGTATTGATTTTCCCACAAATGATCAAATACAGGTAAATTCACGGTGATTTCTTGAGGTCTTTGTATTGTAGTTGCTTTAACTTTAATCGGAATTTATAGGATTTAGATAATTAACTAGTGAATGGTGTTTTGATTCTTCAGATTTGCATTATTTGACTTGTAGATTTCGATGATTGCTAGCTAGAGACAGAGTTTTTGATTTTTCAATTTCGATGTATGAAGTCTCAAATCGAGCTAATTTAGTGTGTTTTGGACTAGTTTTGGTGTTGATACCTTGAAATTTTCCTTGTTTAATCTGAGCTGACGTTATAGTGATTTTCAAGAGATTTCTCAATGTGTCGGAACACGGCCTGTACCCTAAGAGTAATAATACAATTGGTTGTAAACTTTCAAGTTTTCAACCAATTGTATTATGACATTTGGTGTACCGGGCCATGTTCTTGGACCTAAAAAAGTTCTCGTGATTTTCATGGAAATTGATTGAATGGAAGTTACGACCGCATTTAGTGTTTTATTTCTGTTTCGACTTCTCTTTTGATTACAAGATTGTGCTAAATTTACTGAATTAAATAGATAATTAGATATGTGTTAGCTTCTGAAATTAGTTCTAGCAATTGAATTTAATGGCTCAGTTTATGACTAATTCCTTGCCTTACAAGGAATTGAAGAGTGTTAGGTTATTGTTTACTGTAAATTTCTTTTTGTGATTCTGAGGTTGTTTTTGTTTCTCGATCAAAGGGGCTTGAAAGAGTCGGATGTGGACAGCTTTGTTGATGATGTCCTTGTGAATGACAAACCATGGGCTTCCGGAGTGCAAGAGGCGTTGACTGGCTCCCACATATTTGTATGTGCACATGGTAGTCGAGATAAAAGATGTGGTGTTTGTGGACCTGTTCTCATTGATAAGTTCAAAGATGAGGCTGAGCTGCGAGGATTGATGAATCAGGTATTTGTTACTGCTTGCTCTCACATTGGAGGCCACAAGTATGCTGGAAACTTGATTATCTACAGCCCAGGTTCAGATGGAAGCATAACAGGCCATTGGTAATATCCGGATCATAACAATTTAAAATTTATTGTATTGGGATTGATGAAGGAATGTGAATATTATGTATTATTCATTCCAGGTATGGCTATGTCACTCCTGATGATGTGCCAGAATTGCTTGATCAGCATATTGGGAAGGGAGAGATCATCGAACGACTTTGGAGGTTTGTGCGTTTTTGGTTTTGCTTACCCCCTTCTGATGAAAATTTCACTGGAACTGAAGCGTCTGTCATATTTTTCAATTGCTGATTATTTCTAGTGTTGTATGATAGATAATTGACATAGAGTTGCATTAACATCGAGGAACCAAATCAAACTACCCTTTTTTTGTTGATAAACCACACCAGAGGTGGTTTGGGGAACGGGGGATGTGGTCAAGTAGACACTTTACAGAGATGGAGAAAGCGAAATAGATCTAGCGAATTGGATATAATGGCATTACCCTGTATATGTTTCTGTTTTGTAATGTTCTTCTGATTAATTGTTGTCAAATCTCTACTAATTAATAAAACACTCATTGTCAACCAAAATCCTATGAAATTACCAGTTGAACCCTCTAATTAAAACAGAACATGAATAAGAAATATGGGGCAGAAATGTAATTTCACGCAACCAAAATTTGCTTTTTTTTTTTTCAAAGCCTCACCTACATGTAATCCTAACATATCTCTAATTAAAAAAAATAAAAAATTAAAAATAAAAAAAAAAAAAAACTTTCCACTCCCACATTCTCTATTACTCTCTTCCTGTCTCCTTCTATTTCAAAAAACAAAAATAAAAAATTTTCTCACACACTTTGTGTGTGCCCATATGCTAGTTGTTTATTAAGCTTGATCATACCTGTTCTTACTCAATAGCTATTGTTGAAACTTAGAGTTGAATCTTTAAATAACTGAACACGAAATTCAATTTCATTCCTTACAGGGGCCAAATGGGAGTATCTTCTGATGAAGCTGAAAAAATTAATGACCCGAAGCTTTCAAATGGAGGGGAAAGTAAGAAAATCCAGGAGAAGCCACAAGAAAACGGCAATCAGATTCAGAAAAATGAGAACTTTTCAGGCTGTTGCCAAGTTGCTAATAGTAATGGATTTACATGCTGCAAAGAAGTAAGTTTGGAGCAGAATGGTGGAAGTGAGAATAAGAAGCTGAAAGAAACCAGAGAGTCGTGTGCCAGGAAGGATGCCTTAGGGAAGCTGTCAAGCTTGATTGGGAACTGGGAGCAAAGCGATGTTCTTGCAGCTGCTGCCGTGGTTGGAGCAGTGGCAACAGTGGCCATGGCCTATAGCTTTTATAGAAGGTCAGGCTGAAACGTACTCTAATCCATGTCGGGTTCTGCCACGGGTGTAGAGGCCCTATATTTTTTTTCCTTTGTAGAAAGATGTTATAACGTCAATAAAATGAGCTCTTATATGACAGGAGAATATGGTAGCTACACTATATGTTCGTTTTTGGAGGGTGGGATGATTTCCCGGAGCTAAGCTGTATATAGTTGCAAAAGTTTTCACTATTCCTTTCCGTAGTTGATTGCTTACACAGCTGATTTGTTGTTCCAATATACTGTTGAATGGCTTTATCTTGATAGTGGGATTTGTTCTGAGACTGCTTTGATGTGGTGTTTTCTAAGCTCTTGTGATTGTTTTCGATTTGCTTGCTGGACTTTTAATTCAACCGTTGATTCTGTCAAAATTTATGATAATTTTTGTCAAAGAATTCTCAAATTTCAAAAGAGCGAAAAAGGCGGCGGCGTCCTCGTAGATGGCAAATCTCAGAGTTTGGTCGAGATCATCGTCCACAGCTGATCTTTGCAAGCATCCATCAACTCCTTCCCCACCACCCCCCACCTCCCCCCCACGAAGCAGTCTGAGCATTGCTCTTCTCACAGTATTAGTCCTCCGTACTTCTCTCTGCAGCTCTGGCACATAAGCAGGAAGATACTCGCAGCGTGCTCCTTGCATTTCATCGATTCCTCTTCAATGGTCTCAACCAGCCCCCAGATTGTGTCGCACGTACCTGCAGTTTCCTTAAGCAGAGTCTTCGATGAAGAAACAATGTCGTCCAGTTGGCTTGATTTTTCCAAGCCGTGGATTATTTGTAACAACGAAAACACTACGCCCAAAGAGACGTAGTCTGATGGCAGGTCGAGAGGTTGTGTAGTGTGGCTATGCTGTCGAGTCTGGCTTGCACACCGATGCCTTCTGCATAATGTTGATCGAGAAATTCAACTATTAGTTTGATGCCTCCGTGTGGTGCAATTGGTAGCTTGTTTCCCTTGCAAGACGATAGGATCAAAAAAGCTGCCATAGTGAGCTCGACCATCGCCTTGCTTTCGCAGCTAAATTGATCCTTTATTATGCAAGTCAATTACTTATTTTACGACATTGATCCTTTTGACGTAAGCTACAAATGTCTCCTCCTAGCTAAATTTAGTTAGTTTCTATTCACAAAGTAAAGACAATCATTTAGTTAAACCTACCTGCAGCCGCAGTTGAACCTACCTGCGCACCAACTTTAAAATACAATAAGGTCGTCACCTGGTCAAAATTGGGCGGCAGATTATACAAAGGAAAGGAAATTGCATCGTAAAGCGGTTATACAGTTTTTATTAAAATTTGATGGTAACATTTATACAAATTAAATTGTGGGAGGAATAGCAATCACGCGTTATCGACACGGCAGTGACATCATTGGCCCATGCAAAAAATTTGAAAGGGCCGCCTACGGTGGGGAATCTTGGGAAAGACTTGACCTTGGTTATTTCAAAGCCAAGCTGCACTTCTACAGGCTGCAATGGATACCAGCAGCTCCGCCCATGGAGCCGCTGCTGCCGCCTCTTCGTCTTCCTCGCAGCGCTCAAACCGCTGGAAGTACGAGGTGTTCCTGAGCTTTAGAGGCGACGACACGCGCACTACCTTCACAGACCACCTTTTCATTGCGTTACGCAATGCCGGAATTAAGACGTTTATAGACAACCAGCTCACAAGGGGGGACAACATACAGAGTGAACTTGACCAAGAAATCGAAGGGTCGAGAATTGCCGTCATCATCTTCTCCAAGAGGTATGCGGAGTCCCGATGGTGCCTGAGGGAGCTGTCGAAGATCATGAGGTGCCTAAAAGATCAAGAGGGGAAAATAGTGTGTCCAATATTCTACGACGTTGACCCTTCTCAAGTCAGGAAACAGAATGGTAGTTTTTCGAAAGCATTTCAGAAGCACAAAAGGAATGAAGATCCAAATGAGGTCAAGCAGTGGAGAGAGGATCTTACCGCTTCGGCAGATTTGGGCGGCTGGAACCTCAAAACCACGGCCGACGGGTATACTTTTTTGTTTATTTCAAATTTCATATACCATATTTCACTAATCAACCAAAATTAAGATATTATAAGTAAGGCATTGTTTCTGATTTTATATGTTAGAAGAAAAATTGGACCGTTGATCCCTGAACTATGATAGAACTGTAATTTTGGTCGCTACATAAAATTTTATTATAATTGGTATATGTATTTTATAAAAGGTAGAGCATTTGCATATGAATTTCCGTCAAAATTAAGGAAGTGAAACGCAAGGTACATGCTTCGTTTTTTATGGGTGTGTGAAGAACAAATGCTCCACTGTTTATCAAATTAAAATACCAATCATAATGGATTCTTAATTATATAACCGAAAGCTACAATTGTGTAATAGTCCAATGACCAATGATCTAATCTATTCACATTATAATCGAAGATTAAATACATGGTTGAATTGAGCTCAGTAAATCACAATTTATTCAAACATGTTTCAATATGTAAATATATATCATGATGAATAAGTCATTTAGTATGGCTCTCGTAATTTGGAATTTCTATTTGTAGGCACGAAGGAGTATTTATCGAGAAAATTATTGGGGAGATCAAGGGACTATTGAAACCCACAGACTTAAAAGAAGCCAAGCACTCAGTTGGAATAGCTTTTCGCGTGCAAGAATTCAACATTAAATACTTAGACGTTAGAGGTTCACCTGATGTTCAAATAATTGGAATTTGGGGTACAGGCGGTATAGGTAAAACAACACTTGCCAGAGCCATTTTTAGCAAGTATCAGCATAGTTTTAGTAGTCAATGTTACCTTGAAGAGGTGAGGAGTAACAAGAAAAATATGGTTAGTCTACAAGAACAACTTCTTCGAGATATTTTGAAACGGCCTGACATTAAGGTAAGCAGTGTTGCTGAAGGAACCAAGGAGATAGAGAAAAGACTTGGAAGCATGAAGGTACTTGTCGTGGTTGATGACATAGATGACCTGGACCAATTAGATAAATTGGCGATAACACATGACACGTTTGGTCTAGGGAGTAGGATTATTATAACGACAAGAGATGAACAAGTGCTGAATATACAAAAGGTAGATAAAAGATATAAAGCACAAGGAATGACTGATAATGAAGCTTTTGAGCTCCTTAGTTGGCATGCCTTTGGAAATCCTCGTCCCGATGAAGAATATATTGAGCTCGCAAGAGATGTTGTTGATTATTGTGGAGGATTGCCCCTAGCTCTTGAAGTTGTTGGCCGTTTGTTGGCTACGAAAAAGAGTAAAAGCATATGGAAAAGTACATTGGATAAATTGAGAAATATTCCAGATCGAACAATTCATGAAACGCTTAAATTAAGCTACGATGGTTTACGTGATGATCATGTGAAAGGTGTGTTCCTTGACATATCTTGTTTCTTTATTGGAAAGGGTAAAAGTTTTGTCACAGCAATATTGGATGGTTGCAGTCGTTTTTCTGTAGAAGCAGAAATTACCACACTCTGCGATCGATGTCTCTTATATTTTGGTGAATACAAAGAATTGAGGATGCATGATTTGATTCGAGATATGGGAAGAGAAATTGTGCGGGCAAAATCTCCTATGAAACTGGGAAAACGTAGTCGATTGTGGCATAGCGAAGATGCAAAAAGCGTGTTAAGGAACAAATGTGTAAGTACTTTTGCAATAAAAAGATGTTATGTTAAGTAAATGTAAAGAAAGAGAAGTATATACGCATATCTGCATATATATATATATATATATAATGTATTGCCGTACATAGTATATTTGAAGAAAAGGAAGAAAAGAAAAGGCTTTCATCCACTGTAAATTGAAAGAGAAAATACATAATTATGTTGTATGCCCTACGTTTCTAGTAGTTCATTCATCCAATTCATGGCTCTGCTTCGTGTGAATATTATCCTTTTCTTGTTTTTTTCTAATCTCTAACAGGGAACAGAAGCAGTTGAAGGACTAACCTTATTTTTGCCAGAAGATTCTGATGACGAGCAAAGCTTCAGAACGGAAGCGTTTAAGAAGATGTGGCGTCTGAAATTTCTCGAGCTGAAAAATGTAAAGCTGACTGGAAGCTACAAACATCTTTCCAAGGAGTTAAGATTGTTGTATTGGAATGGATTTCCTCTTGAAGCCATACCAGCAGATTTTGATCAACGAAACCTAATTTATATGGAACTGAGGTACAGCAAGATGGTACGAGTTTGGGAGGATTCGGAGCTGGTACGATATAATTAGCAATATCCTTGTAAATATCAACATCAGTCATCGTCATGCATTCTCTCTTTTATTTATTTGGATTTTTACTATTGTTTTCTCTTTTTGAGTAACAGTTGCCTAAGAAGTTGAAGTATCTCATTCTTGGAGACTGCCATAACCTGACTGAATTACCAGACTTTTCAAAACTCCCACATCTCGAGGCATTGTTCCTCAGTGGCTGTAAGGGTTTGTGTGGGGGTTACCATTTTTTAGCACAACTGAAGATGATTAAGGTATTAGAATTCCGCGACTGCAATATAACAGATGGTGCCGTTCTCGAAATAATTGGGAGTCTATATTCTTTAAAACTTTTAAATCTAGGTGGGAATGGTTTTAATAGGCTACCCATTCTCAGTGGCCTTTCTCAGCTTCGGTTTTTATTTCTAAATCATTGCACAAACCTTCAGGCAATCCCAGATTTGCCGACGAGTTTGCTTGAATTGCATGCAAATTACTGCACTGCACTGGAAATAATGTCCGACTTTTCAGAGATGTCGAAAATGGGGAAATTGGAACTGAAAGACTGCCGCAAACTCAAAGATATTCCAAACTTGGAGAGCTCAATGGACTACATGGATTCAATTCATATGGAAGGGTGTACCAGTCTCACTGATACTTTTAAGGAGAACCTCCAAACGGTATGGTACTCTCTCTCTCTCTCTCTCTCTCTCTCTCTCTGCTTTTTGTATTGTTGCTTATACTAACTTTGCACCCCATGGTACAGAAAAATGCATTTGGTGGAATTTTTCTCTCTGGAAATGATATTCCTAACCGGTTAGCCTATGTCGCGAGAGAGAATGAAACTGTCAAATTTGAAGTGCCAACAAGTATTGATTATATAGGAGGGTTGGCTTTGGGCATCGTTTATTCTTCAGACAACTCCGACTCTACTGGGTCTCTATGCATTGATGTTGTTAATCGTACCCAACGAACTATTTTTCGCATCAGGTCAATGGAGGCCACCACCGTAATTGCTTCCCATGAATATTATCTTTGGTTGGGAAATCTTTCAAACAAGAAGCTCAATCTTAAAGGCGGCGACATGGTTCTTGTAAAAGCAGAATTTTATGGACGAGATAATAGAATTAAGGTGAAGAAAATAGGAGTGGATATTGTAAAATGGGATTTGTTTGATGGTGGTACTAATTGGAACACCTATGCGACTATGCCATATGAGTATGATGAAGACACTACTATGTCATATGAGTCTAATGAAGACACAAATGACGATACACAGTTGAGCTATCACCACGTTTTCCTCTGCTACAAGACCCCCGAGGCTTGGCCATGGCGCATTGAAGGCTTTGACTCCGATCCACTCCCTAAGTTCTTCGCATCTACTCTCAAAGCTCGCAAGAACGACATCAACGTTAGGGTTCGTTTTCCAGCTCAATTCTTCTGCGTTTCTGATTGCTTTTTCTTACCGTTTCTTATTTCCTAGAGCTACTGAGTTTTGGAGCTACTGAATTCTGGTGTTGAGCTGAGTTGACTCCGTTACTCACTTTTTCTTGGTTTTTGATAGACGTTGCTGACAGTAATTGAAGGACGCGAAGGAACTGAGTTTTCCGACGGTGATGTATTGATTTTCCCACAAATGATCAAATACAGGTAAATTCGCATTGATTTCTTGAGGTTTTTGTTCTTTAGTTGCCTTAATTTTAATCCGAATTTATTGGATTTAGATAATTAACCGGTGTGTGATTAATTTTAATCCGATTCATAACGATGAACTGAAACCGCAGTTGAGTATTTCTTAACAATACAACAGTAATAAGAATAAGTATACTACGCAAGCTTGAGAGGTAAGCAAGAGAACAAAATCTGAAGCAATAACTTATAATTATTCAAGATGGCACACAAAAGCTTTCACTTGGTGGATGAAAAAAGTTCAAATGGTGGTTTGATTATGGAATACTGAGAGTGTTGTCTTACCTATAGCTACATTGAAGAATGCCATGTAAAATTGCTTACGACGGAGAGACTAAAACATGAGCCGACCCACATTCCCACCTGAGTGCTATTAAAAAACCGAGTCATATACTATTAAAACTAAGTCGTATACTATTGAAACGAATTATTTCCTTACTACAACCAACACTTCCAATATCAAAAGAGAAAAGAAATAACAGTATTCGATGCATTAGCAGAAAAGTGTCACATTACATACCATCAAATGGCATCAACTAACTCTTGATATCAACTGCTGGAAGAAAAACCTAGCCTGATGCAAAACAACAATTAAATCGAAAAAGTATGTAAGTTTTAGTTATATTATGACCGACTGTGTATGTAAAAATGCTTCAGACCTAACTTTCCCCATCTGAAACTAAACGAAAATCGAGATGGGTTCCATTTCAGGGGACATTCAGAGATCCCATATTTGAGACTCGACTCAAAATATTTCCAATGAAATTTTCTCTGCATTTGAAACTACTTTATCGCATCCTCACTAAATCTGCCAGCACTGCATATTCTCTCGAAGAGTTCTCACCCAGCCGTGTACTCCATCACAATGGCTAGATGAGGTGGTGTGAGTAGAACCATCAAAAAAGCCACCTTACTACTCTCAAGTCTTAAATGTTAAAGATCAACACCAACCCTTTAAGATCAGTCGGTACAAAGAAACTAAATTATGTTAGTTCAAACATGCATGAGATTGTTCTAGAAGATTCATGCATGAGATTTTACTAGAATTGTCTAGCATGCAAAGTCGGTTGGCTGGCCTAGAAATATCAAATCTAAAGTATCTTTGTAGAAAGAACTAGAAACCTAGTTAGATGACATGCCAAGTCGGTGGGCAGTGTGAGAGTCGGTGCAGTGCATGATAAATGCACTAGAATGTTCTACCAATCTTTAAAGTCGGCAACCATTGCCTATAAATATGTAATGTTGTAACCAACCAAGTAACGAAGTAAGAGAGCAAATCAAGAGAGAGCTAAGTAAGAGAGTGAGAAGCCTTGTAAGTGAGTAGTCTTGTGAAGAGTCCGAGTGATCTAGAGTGTGTCTCTAGAAAGAGAGGGTGTCATAGCTTCTAAGTTGTGTCCTTGATAGTTGTTGTGTTGTAAAATTTTGTGAGCGTAATACAAGTAATTTGTTTACTTGTTTTGTCTCTCCAATACTTGTGCGAGTTGTGTACTCTAATTTTCCTCAACATTAACACAAACCTCTTATCAATTTGACAAATAAGCCACTCTAAAGACCATTTCCACTTCACTAGTAAAAACAAAGTGCAGGAAGAATAGCTCCTCAACATTAAACACAAACCTCTTTATCAATTATCACAAATAAGCCTCTAAAGACTATTTCCACTTCACAGTAAAAACAAAGTGCAGGAAGAATAGCTCATATTTTTAGCAGAGTTATTTTAACAACAATTCTGCAAGTGGTGGATCGCCCCGGTGGGTAAGGCATTTCTCTTAGTCCTACTGCATCCCAGGCTCAAAGTTCAGCCATCCCCCGTACCAGTTTAAGCACACCAGAGGCCAAATTTAGCGTGTTCTGTCTTTATCCACCCACCCTCAGCAGATACTTATACAAAATTCAAACAGAACTTGCCAGATTCATCTTAAAATACAAAATGAAAATAGTTTATGATCACTGAACTCTTTGAATCAAACGATATTTGGATGCAGTGATCTGTGGTTCATGATTTCCCTTTGAACATGTTCATCTATCTGCATCACCCAAAAAAAAAAAAAAAAATTTTTTTTAAAAATATAAAGTTTAAAGGATGAGAAATAAAGAAAATTCAGAAAAAGGGAAGATATAAGAGTCGAAGAAGACAGAACCAAAACATCCAAGACTCACCCACCACCCAGCTAGCTAGCAAACACACACCTAAAGGCTAAAAAGGATAGGGTCTTCATCAAATTAGGTGTTGGGTGAGTCTTGGATGTTTTAGCTATGGTCAACCTAAACCAAAATCAAGTGACAAATAGACAAAGGTATGCATAAATCATTTTCTTTCCATTTATTTTAAGGAAAACTAATGAAAAGGTCTTGAAAACTTTTAGTTTTAATAATAAGGATAAAATAAAGGGTAAAATGAATAGTACCAAGTTTGATTTCTTAGTGTAAAAATATGGTTTTTCGTTAAAGTGAACAGTACTGCGGGCTTTTCGTTAAAACTCCCTTTATTTTAATTAATAAGATTGGGTTTGGATCTATCTTAGTCTGCTTTCTGATGTTAACATGTAAGAGTAGAATGTAGTACTCTAAAGAGGAAGCCATCATTGCAAGCCTATATCATGGCAAGCAAGACAGATTCACTCTCACCTCCATATGTTACCAAATCTTAGTCTATATGATTTTGCCAGAGCTACCTAATGTTGAATATATATCTGTTGAATGTTCTATAACATCAACATTATAAAGGTTTCTAATTGAATCATACATTTAAAATCCAAGCATGAAAGCTTTACAGAGATAAATAAACAAATGTAAATAACTAATTAGGCAATACAAATCAGAGAGGAGAGAAAGGGGCAGGGAGGGAGAGAGAGAGAGAGAGAGTAGTTGAAGGAGTGAGAAGCAAAGCAACATAGCAAGTGGAGAGTAGGCAGTTAAGCATAGTCATTACATATGGAATGCCTGAGAACTGATATGTGCTTCTCTTCCTTATGATCCTCTTAAATGTAATTCTACACATTTCTAAACCAAAATCACAAAGTAGAATTCAAAGAAATTTAAAGAAACCTAGATTCAAGCTTTTTGATTATTCAAAAGATATACAGAACCCCATGTAACAAAAGCAAATTTATGACACAAAAGAATTGATCTTTAGCCACAAAAAGCAAGAGAGAGAGAGATAGAGAGGGGGAGAGAGAGAGAGAGAGAGAGAGAGAGAGAGATTTTGCTTTTTGAACTATGCAAAATGTGCAGAGAATCAAAATATCATAAGCTATTTAACAAAATGATATTTTAGGTAAAAAGGCATCACCTTAGACCCCAAATGAAAGAATTTGAGAGATAAGGAAGAGTGCAATTCCATTTCCTGTAAAAACGAAGAAACAAAGCATTAGCAAACACACATGCGCAAATCTCAAATTGGTAAGAGATAATAAAGACTCCGAGGAAAACGTTGAGATTTTTTTTTTTTTTTATCTATTTCAACCAAATATTGAAACGAAAGAACCTAGTTGAGAAAAAACCTTAAGAGAATCATGTAGTGGCCTTTCTAGCTCCTATGTCCTTTACTCCCTCACTCTTTCTCTCCGTACCCGTTCCCCTCAACCCCACCTCCATATTTTTCCCCATCTCTCTCTCTCTCTCTGCAACCAACGTCAGCGGACATAACCCACCCCCACCCCCTCTCTCTAGCTCCTACCCTTCCCATCAACCCTCTTGTCTCTCACTATGCAAACCCTAAACTCGATGTCACCCTCTGCCTCTCTGCACGATCTCCTTGATGAGATCGAAAGCAACCTAACCCCCAAACCGAATTGCAGAACACAAACGCCCCAAATGGTGGCCGTTGGATTAGGACTGAAGGGGGCAAAAGAGTCATTTGATCTTTCGGCGAAGCCCATCCCAAAACGCGTGAAAGCTACACCTGGGCCCAAATGCAGCAACCCAACCCAGCTATTAAGCACGACCCACACTAAGGCACATAATGGCAAACCGTAATTAATTCATAATCGATGGCCCATTCCATAACCAACATGAGCAGTGCAATTTATTTTCCTAGTTTAGAATGAGGTAATTTCTTACGAGATTATGATGAATTTACTGAACTAAATAGATAATGAGATATGTGTTAGCTTCTAAAATTAGTTCTAGAAATTGAATTAATGGCTCAGTTTAAGACTAATTTCTTGCCTGTAAATCCTTTATTGTGATTCTGAGGTTGTTGTTGTTTCTTGATCAAAGGGGCTTGAAAAAGTCTGATGTGGACAACTTTGTTGATGATGTCTTTGTGAATAACAAACCATGGTCTTCCGGAGTGCAAGAGCCCTTGACTGGCCCCCATGTATTTGTATGCGTACTTATGAGTCGAAATGAATGGAATCGTGATAGTGCACATGTTCTCATTGATAAGTTCAAAGAGGAGGTAGAGCTACGAGGATCGACAGATCAGGTATTTGTTACTACGTGCTCTCACACTGAAGGCCATAAGTATGCTGGAAGACTCTGGATCTACATCCCAGATTCATATGGAAGCTTGACATGCCATTGGTAATATCCGGATCGTAACAATTTAAAATTTATCGTATTGGGATTGATGAAGGAGTTTGAATATTATGTATTATTAATTGCAGGTATCGCTCCGTCCATCCTGATGATGTGCCGGAATTGCTTGATAAGCATATTGGGAAGGGAGAGGTTATAGAACGACATTGGAGGTTTGTATGTTTTTGGTTTTGCCTACTGTCTTTGGATGAAAATTTCACTGGACGGAAGCTTGTGTTGTCATATTTTTCAATTGCTGGACACTTGATTATCTACAGCCCAGGTTTAAGAAAGATTTATCAGCGTGACTGGTACACGAAGTGGTATACGTGTTACCATGATGAAAGCATAGCAGGCTATTGGTAATATCTAGATCATAACAATTTAAAATTTATCGTATTGGCATCGATGAAGGAGTTTGAATATTATGTATTATTAATTGCAGGTATCGCTACATGTTTCATGGTTTTGTGCCGGAATTGCTTGATCAACATATTGAGAAGGGAGAGATTATAGAACGAAATTGGAGGTTTGCACACTTTTGGTTTTGCCTACTGTATTTGGATGAAAATTTCACTGGACGGAAGCTTGTGTTGTCATATTTTTTCAATTGTTGATTATGTCTGGTCTTGTATGATAGATTAATTGACATAGAGTTACATAACATCGAGGAACTTTTGTGGAGAAAGCACAAAAGAATTGGATATAACTGCATTACCCTGTATATGTTTCTGATTTGTAATGTTGTTGGGATTTGTTCATTAAGCATGATCATACCTGTTCTTACTCAATTGCTATTGACGAAACTTAAGAGTTGAATCATTAAATAGTTGAACACCAAAATTTAATTTCATTCCTTATAGGGGCCAAATTGGAGCATATTCTGATGAAGCTGAAGAAATTAATGACCGGGAACTTCCAAATGGAGAAGAAAATAAGAAAGTCGAGGAGCCCCAAGAAACCACAAAGGCATGTGCCAGGACGGATGCCTTAGGGAAGCTGTCAAGCTTGATCAGGAACTGGGAGCAAAGCGATGTTCTCACAGCCACTGTCGTGGTTGGAGCAGTGGCAGCAGTGGTTGTGGCCTATAGCTTTTTATAGAAAGTGAGGCTGAAACGTACTCTAATCCATGTCGGGTTTTGCCACGGGTGTCGAGGTCCTATTTTCTTTTTCGTTTTTTCTTTGTAGAAAGATGTTATAACGTCAATTAAATAATCATCCGAACCATGCTCTTATATGAAAGGAGAAATCTAATAAACTGTTGAATGGTTTTATCTTGATTGGGATTTCTTATGAGACTGCTTGCTAAATGTTGATGTGGTATTTTCTAAGCTCCTGTGATTGTTTTTTATTTGGATGCTGGACTTATAATTCAACAGTCAATTTTGTCCAAATTTATGGTAATTTTTGTGAAAGAAATTTAAATTTTGTTGTTTATGAATTTCGAAAGAGAGAAAGCGACATTGTTGTCTCTGTCCTTTGTTCAATAAACGAGATAAACGACTATGTGCTAACATTTAATTTGCTTGAACTATTTTTCAAATATACGGCATTGTTGTCACGAGTTTTACCTTCATTCTAGAATAGTTTTTCTTTTTTTCTTATTGTGGTTCCCAAACACAATCTCATGTGGTACTTCAATTATATCCATTAACTCAATTTATTTTTCTGTTAAATATAGAGGGCATAGCAAGGATTTTGTACATCCACCTCTTATTTTCCTGTAGTTGCTTAATTTTAACCAAAATTTATAGGATTTAGATAATTAACCAGTCAGTGGTGTTTTGATTCTTCAGATTTGCGTTATTTGACTTGGAGATTTCGATGATTGCTAACTAGAGATATAGTTTATGATTTTCCCATTTCAATTTACGAAGTTTCAAATTGAGCTAATTTAGTGTGTTTTGGACTAGTTGCGGTGTTGATACCTCAAAATTTTCCTTGTTTGCTTTGAGATTGTGCGTGGTAACACGCTCTGGTTTCCAACCATTTGTATTATTACACTAGGTGTACCGAGCTGTGGCACACAAAAAAATTACTCGTGATTTTCATTGGAAATTGATTGAATGCAAGTTACGACCGCATTTAGTGTTTTATTTCTGTTTCGACTTCTCTTTTGATTACAAGATTGTGCTAAATTTATTAGATAATTCAATACATGTTAGCTTCTGAAATTAGTTCTAGAAATTGAATTTAATGGCTCAGTTTATGACTAATTCCTTGTCTTACAAGGAATTAAAGAGTGTTAAGTTATTGTTTCCTGTAAATTCCTTTTTGTGATTATGAGGTGGTTGTTGTTTCTTGATCAATGGGACCTAAAAGAGTCGGATGTGTACAGCTTTGTTGATGATGTCCTTGTGAACGACAAACCATGGGTTTCCGGAGTGCAAGAGGCGTTGACCGGCTCCCATGTATTTGTATGTGCACATGGTAGTCGAGATAAAAGATGTGGAGTTAAAAAAGCTGCTATCGCGAGCTTGTTTCCCTTCCAAGACGATAGGATTAAAAAAGCTGCTATCGCGAGCTCGATCATCTCCTTGCTTTCGTAACTAAATTGATCCTCATTTTGGGCAGGTAAATTACTTATTTTACGACACTGTAACTTTTGACGTAAGGTAAGCTACGAATGTCTATAGTCATTTAGTTAGCCTTTTGGAGTTTAATTTTCTACATCTTTTGTTAAGATAGGTTGTTGGAGATGAGGTCTCTTCCCATTGATTCTTACGTCCACCAGCAGGGGCAGTTGGACCGACCTGCGCGCCACCCTTAAAATACAATAAGGTCTGGCCAAAGTTGGGCGGCAGATTTCTCAAAAAAACTACAAAAGAAAGGAAATTGCATCGTAAAGCAGTTATACAATTTTACTTTATTTTTTTAAATTTGATGGTAACATTCACTCACGCGCTATCGACACGGCAGTGACAAATTTATAAGGGCTACCGAGACTGGGGAATCTCGGGAAAGACTTGACTTTGGTTATTTGAAAGCCAAGCTGCACTTCTACAGGCTGCAATGGATGCCAGCAGCTCCGCCCATGGAGCCGCCGCTGCCGCCTCTTCGTATTCCTCGCGGAGCTCAAACCACTGGAAGTACGAGGTGTTCGTGAGCTTTAGAGGCGAAGACACCCGCAAGACCTTCACAGACCACCTTGACATTGCGTTTCGCAAAGCTGGAATCAACGTGTTTATAGACAACCAGCTCACAAGCGGGGAAAACATACAGAGAGAACTTGACCGAGAAATCGAAGGGTCGAGAATCGCCGTCATCGTCTTCTCGAAGGGGTACGCGGACTCCCGGTGGTGCCTGAGGGAGCTGTCAAAGATCATGAGGTGCCTAAAAGATCAAGAGGGGAAAATAGTTTGTCCAATATTCTACGACGTTGACCCTTCTCAGGTCAGGAAACAGAATGGTAGTTTTTCGAAAGCATTTCGGAAGCACAAAAGGAATGAAGATCCAAATGAAGTCAAGCAGTGGAGAGAGGATCTTAAGGCTTCGGCAGATTTAGGCGGCTGGAATCTCAAAACCACAGCTGACGGGTATATATACTTTCTTGTTTACTTCAAATTTCATATCACCATGTTTCACTAACAAACCAAAATTAAGATATTATAATTAAGGCATTGAATCTGATTTTATATGTTAGAAGAAAATTGGATCATTGGTCCCTGAACTATGATAGAATTGTAATTTTGGTCACTACATAAAAATTTATTAGAATTGGTATATGAATTTTATAAAAGGTAGAGCATTTGCATATGAATTTCGGTCAAAATTAAGGAAGTGAAACGCAAGGTACGTGCTTCGTTTTTTTATGGGTGTGTGAAGAACAAATGCTCCACACTTTATCAAATTAAAATACCAATTGTAATGGATTCTTAATTATAAAACTGAAAGCGACAATTGTGTAATAGTCCAATGACCGATCATCTAATCTATTCACATTATAATCAAAGATTAAATATGTGGTTGAATTGAGCTCAGTAAATCACAATTTATTCAAACCTGTTTCAATATGTAAATATAAGGTCATGATGAATAAGGCATTTAGTATGGCTCTCGTAATTTGGAATTTCTACTTTTAGGCGTGAAGGAGTGTTTATCGAGAAAATTATTGGGGACATCAAGGGACTATTGAAACCCATAGACTTAAAAGAACCCAAGCACTCAGTTGGAATAGCTTTTCATGTGCAAGAATTTAGCACTAAATACTTAGACGTTGGAGGTTCACCTAATGTTCAAATAATAGGAATTTGGGGTACAGGTGGTATAGGTAAAACAACGCTTGCCAAAGACATTTGTAGCAAATATGGTCATAGTTTTAGCAGTCAATGTTACCTTGAAGAGGTGAGGAGTAACAAGAAAAATATGGTTAGTTTGCAAGAACAACTTCTTCAAGATATTTTAAAACGGCTTGACATTAAGGTAAGCAGTGTTGCCGAAGGAACCAAGGAGATAGAGAAAAGACTTGGAAGCATGAAGGTACTTGTCGTGGTTGATGACATAGATGATGCGGACCAATTGGATAAATTGGCGATAGCACATGACTCGTTTGGTCCAGGGAGTAGGATTATTATAACGACAAGAGATGAACAAGTGCTGAATATACAAAAGGTGGATAAAAGATATAAAGCACAAGGAATGACTAATGAAGAAGCTTTTGAGCTCCTTAGCTGGCATGCCTTTGGAAATCCTCGTCCCGACGAAGAATATGTTGAGCTCGCAAGAGATGTTTGATTATTGTGGAGGATTGCCCCTAGCTCTTGAAGTTGTTGGCCGTTTGTTGGCTATGAAAAAGAGTAAAAGCATATGGAAAAGTACATTGGATAAATTGATAAATATTCCAGATGGAAAAATTCATGAAACACTTAAATTAAGCTTCGATGGGCTACGTGATGATCATGTGAAGGGTGTGTTCCTTGACATATCTTGTTTCTTTATTGGATGTGGTAAACGTTTTGTCACGGCAATATTGGATGGTTGTAGTCGTTTTTCTGTTGAAGCAGAAATTGCCACGCTCTGTGAACGATGTCTTTTATATATTGATGAAGTGGAAAATTTGAGGATGCATGATTTGATTCGAGATATGGGAAGAGAAATTGTGCGGGCAGAATCTCCTGTGGAACTGGGCAAACGTAGTCGATTGTGGAACAGTAAAGATGCAAAAAGCGTGCTCAGTAACAAATCGGTAAGCACTTTTGCAATAAAAAGATGTATGTTAAGTATATGTAAAGAAAGAGAAGTATATACGCATATCCGCATATATATAATGTATGCTGTACATAGTATATTTGAAGAAAAAGAAGAAAAGAAAAGGCTTTCATCCACTATAAATTGAAAGAGAAAATACACAATTATGTTGTATGCCCTACCTTGCTTGTAGTTCATTCATCCAATTCACGGCTCTGCTTCGTGTGAATATTATCCTTTTCTTGTTTTTTTTTAATCTCTAACAGGGAACAGAAGCAGTTGAAGGACTACGCTTATTTTTGCCAGAACATTCTGATGATAAGCAAAGCTTCAGTACGGAAGCATTTAAGAAGATGTGGCGTCTGAAATTTCTCGAGCTAAAAAATGTAAAGCTGACTGGAAGCTACAAACATCTTTCCAAGGAGTTAAGATTTTTGCGTTGGAATGGATTTCCACTTGAAGCTATACCGGCAGATTTTGATCAACGAAACCTAGTTTATTTTCACCTGAGGCACAGCAAGATCGTACGAGTTTGGGAGGATTCGGACATGGTACGATATAATTATCAATGTCCTTGTAAATATCAACATCAGTCATCGTCATGCATTCTCACGTTTATTTATTTGGATTTTTATTATTGTTTTCTCTTTTTGAGTAACAGTTGCCTAAGAAGTTGAAGTATCTCCTTCTTATAGACTGCCATAACCTGACTGAATTACCAGACTTTTCAAAACTCCCACATCTCGAGGTATTGGCCCTCATTGGCTGTAAGGGTTTGTGTGGGGGTTACCATTTTTTAGCACAACTGAAGATGATTAAGGGATTAAATCTCAGCGACTGCAATATAACAGATGGTGCCAGTTCTCGAAATAATTGGTAGTCTATCTTCTTTAACAGTTTTAGATCTAAGTGGGAATGGTTTTAATAGGCTACCCATTCTCAGTTTCCTTTCTCAGCTTCAGGTGTTACGTGTAAATCATTGCACAAACCTTCAGGCAATCCCAGATTTGCCGAACAGTTTGATTGAACTGAAAGCGAATTACTGCACTGCACTGGAAATAATGTCCGACTTTTCAGAGATGTCGAAAATGAGGAAATTGGAACTGAAAGACTGCCGCAAACTCAAAGATATTCCAAACTTGGAGAACTCATTGGACTACATGGATTTAATTCATATGGAAGGGTGTACCAGTCTCACTGATACTTTTAAGGAGAACCTCCAAACGGTATGGTACTCTCTCTCTCTCTCTCTGCTTTTTGTATTGTTGCTTATACTAACTTTGCACCCCATGGTGTAGAAAAACGCATTTGGTGGAATTTTTCTCTCTGGAAATGATATTCCTAACTGGTTAGCCTATGTCGCGAGAGAGGATGAAATTGTCAAATTTGAAGTGCCGCCAAGTATTGACTATATAGGAGGATTGGCTTTGGGCATCATTTATTCTTCACACAACTCCAACTGTACAGGAACTCTAACCATTGATGTTGTTAACCGTACCCAGCGAACTAATTTTCGCATTTGGGCAATGAAGGCCACCGTAACTACTTCCTATGAATATTATCTTTGGTTGGGAAATCTTTCAAACAAGAAGCTCAATCTGAAAGACGGCGACATAGTTTTTGTAAAAGCAGAATTTTATGGACGACATAATAGAATTAAGGTGAACAAAACAGGAGTGGATATAGTAAAATGGGATTTGTCTGATGGTCATACCAATTGGGACAGATAAGAGACTATGTCATATGATTCTGATGAAGTCACTAAGGTCGATACACAGTTAAGCAACCGCCACGTTTTCCTCTGCTACAAGACCCCTGAGGCCTGGCCATGGTGCATCAAAGGCTTTGAGTCCGATCCACTCCCTAAGTTCTTCGCATCCGCTCTCAAAGCTCGCAAGAAAGACCTCACCTTTAAGGTCCGTTTTCCAGCTTAATTCGTTGGCGTTTCTGTTTGCTCTTTCTTACCGTTTCTTGTTTCATGGAGCTACTGAGTTCTGGTGTTGAGCTGAGTTGACTCTATTACTCACTTTTTTCTTGGTTTTTTACAGATATTGCTAACAATAATTGAAGGACATGAAGGAACTGAGTTTTCCGACGGCGATGTGTTGGTTTTATCACAAATGATCAAATACAGGTAAATTCGCGATGATTTCTTGAGGTTTTTATAGTTGCTTTAATTTTAAGAAAACTAATGAAAAAAAGTTTGAAAACTTTGAGTTTTAACGATAAGGACAAAATAAATGGTAAGGTGAATAGTACCAGGTTTGACTTTTTAGTGTAAAAATGTGATTTTTCATTAAAGTGAACAGTACTGCGGGCTTTTCGTTAAAACTCCCTTAATTTTAATCCGAATTTACTGGTTAGTTATCCAAGAGAATCATGTAGTAGCCATTTTAGACTCCTTTGCCGAACAGTAAATTCACATCCAAGAGTAAAGAATGAATTGAAAATAATTTGTTACCTTTTGAATAGGAAGGATGCAGCAGCCCTTGACAAATCAACCCATACCTCTACCTCCTATGTCCCTTACTCCCTCACTCTTTCTCTCTGTACCCGTTCCCCTCAACCCTACCCCCGTACTTTACCCCATCTCTCTCTCTCTGCAACCAACATCAGCGGACATAACCCATCCCCATCAACCCTCAGTCCACCCCCAACCCTTCCCATCTCACTGTGCAAACCGTAAACTCGATGTCACCTTCTGCCTCTGTACACGATCTCCTTAACGGGATCGAAAGCAACCTAACCCCCTTCTCCCCCACCAAATTGCAGAACATAAACACCCAAAATGGTGGCCGTTGGATTAGGACTGAAGGGGGCAAAATAGTCATTTGATCTTTCAGTGAAACCCAACCGAAAATGGATGAGAGCTGCACTCTGGGCCCAAATACAGTAGGCCAACCCAGTTGTTAAGCAGGGCCCGCACTAATTAACACCCACAATGTCAAACCGTAATTAATTCATAATTGAGGGTCCATTCCATAACCAACATGAGCAGTGCAATTTCTTTTCCTAGTTTAGACTGAAGTAATTTCTGTTTTGACTTCACTTTTGACTGCGAGATTGTGTTGAATTTACTGACCTAAATTGATAATTAGATATGTGTTAGCTTTTGAAATTAGTTCTAGAAATTGCATTTAATGACTCAGTTGACGACTAATCCCTTGCCTTACAAGGAGTGTTAGGTTATTGTTTCCTGTAAATTCATTTTTATGATTCTGGGATTGTTTTTGTTTCTTGATCAAAGGGGCTTGAAAGAGTCGGATGTGGACAGCTTTGTTGATGATGTCCTTGTGAATCACAAACCATGGGCTTCCGGAGTGCAAGAGCCTGTTGACTGGCCCCCATGTACTTGTATGCGCACATATGAGTCGAAATGAAATGAATCGTTATCATGCACGTGTTCTCATTGATAAGTTCAAAGAGGAGGCTGAGCTGCGAGGATTGACGAATCAGGTACTTGTTACTGCTTGCTATCACATTGGCCACAAGTATGCTAGAACACTCAGTATCTACATCCCAGATTCAGATGGAAGCATGACATGCCATTGGTAATATCCGGATCATAACAATTTAAAATTTATCGTATTGGGATACATGAAGGAGTATGATTATTATGTATTATTAATTGCAGGTATCCCGTCGTCACTCCTGATGATGTGCCGAAATTGCTTGATCGGCATATTGGGAAGGGAGAGATTATAGAACGACATTGGAGGTTTGTACGTTTTTGGTTTTGTCTACTACCTTTGGATGAAAATTTCGCCGGACAGAAGCTTGTGCTGTCATATTTTTCAATTGCTGATTATGTATAGTCTTGTATGATAGATTAATTGATATAGAGTTACATTAACATCGAGGAACTTTTGTGGAGAAAACACAAAAGAATTGGATATAACTGCATTACCCTTTATATGTTTCTAATTGGTAATGTTGTTGTGATTTGTTTATTAAGCTCGATCATACATGTTCTACTCATTGCTATTGACGAAACATAGAGTTGAATCCTTAAATAGCTGAACACGAAATTCAATTTTATTCCTTACAGGGGCCAAATGGGAGCATCTTGTAATGAAGCTGAAGAAATTAATGACCGGGAGCTTCCAAATGGAGAAGAAAATAAGAAAATCGAGGAGCCCCAAGAAACCACAGAGGCGTGTGCCAGGACGGATGCCTTAGGGAAGCTGTCAAGCTTGATCAGGAACTGGGAGCAAAGCGATGTTCTGACAGCTGTTGCCGTGGTTGGAGCAGTGGCAACAATGGCCATGGCCTATAGCTTTTTATAGAAGGTCTGGCTGAAATGTACTCTAATCCATGTCGGATTCTGCCATGGGTGTAGAGGCCCTACTTTCTTTTCTTTTTTTTTCTTTGTAGAAAGATGTTATAACGTCAATTAAATAATCTCTTATACGAAAGGAGAATATGGTAGCTGCACTACATGTTCTTTTTCGGAGGGTTTGATGAATTCCCGAAGCTAAGAAAAATGGCAATCGGAGGTGGACGAAGCAGAAACGAGAATGTCAGCTTGAGTAACTCAAACATTGGTGAGAATCCAATGCCCCGAAAACCTAAGGGTTCCTCCTCAAGGTTCGCCACGGAGGGTGAGTCCAGGCCTAAGATTAGGCCGAAAGGCGTAGTCGACAATAGGTGAATATTCTGTACTACCCCTTGTTGGTCCCGTGGACGGAGGAGGCACCAAGAAATCTCAATTTTGTTGTTTATGAATTTCAAGAGAGAGAAAGTCGTTGTTTGTTTAATAAACGAGATAAACGACTGTGTGCTAACATCTAATCTGCTTGAACTATTTTTCAGATATATACAGCATTGTTGTCATGAATTTTACTTTCGTTCTAGAATAGTTTTTTTTTTTTTTTATTTTAATTTTTATTTTTTATTCTCTTATTGTGGTTCTCAAACTCAATCTCAAGTGGTACTTCAATTATATTCGTTAACTCGATTTATTTTTCTGTTAAATATAGAGGGCATAGCAAGGATTTTGTACATCCACCTCCTTTTTTCTTTTCTTTTTTTCCATTTTTTAGGTTGTGGGATGAATTTTAAGTTTATCATCTCTACTTAACAGAAAAACAGATGAAGTTGACAAAAAGGATACAAAAATAAATAGTCTTGCTATAGCAAGTTTGAAGATCATATAACATATGCATCGATAATATTACCAATTCACAGAAGAAATGGAACGTGGGGATGTATTTGGTGGAATTTGTCGCTCTTGAAATGTTATTCCCTAATGGTTAAACTATGTCGTGATAGGGGAAGAAAATGTCAAATTTGAAGTGCCGCCAAGTTTTGATTATATAGGAGGGTTAGCATCCTGGGTCTCTATGCATTGATGTGGTTAATCATACCCAGCGGACTTATTTTTCCATCTGGCGAACGGATGCCACCATAACTGATTCCCATGAAGATTATCTTTGGCTGGGAAATCTTTCAAACAGGAAGTTCAATCTGAAAAGTGGCGACAAGGTTTGTGCACATGCAGAATTTTTTGGAACAGAGGATGATCATCAAGTTAAGGTGAAGAAAACAGGAATGAATTTTGCAGGATGGGAACATGTTGACCTCCAGAGAAAAAAAAAAAAAATTGTGGACTATGAGCGTGTACCATATGAGTCTGATGATGATACTGATCAGAAGGACTATTAGACTATACCATATGAGTTTGATGACAATGACGACCGGTACAAAGTTAAGCAATCACTCATCTGATGAGGTCTGCAAAATATTAAGGTTTGATCTCAATATCGAAAGCTTTGACGATGAAGAAACAACAATGACTTGAAGGAAAGCGCAGCAAAGAGAATTGTAAGGAAGGTACATAGACATTTACTGCAAACTGCCAAGTAACTGATGCAATTATGAAGCACGAAGCAACTTGTTTATAAATCTCACCCAATCAGGTCATTTTTCTCTATCTTTCTCCTCTGTAAAGACCATGAAAACATGTATTTACGTCTCAATTTCATTGTTTCTAAGAGTAATATTGGAGGTTGGGGCCATGCTTGCTAGTTAGGGGTCTGTTTAAGATTGTTCATATGGCTCAAAGAAGCGGTTCATGGAGAAGCATACGCCATTCTTTTTTTCTTTTCGAAAAGCATCCTGAAGTGATTTTTTAAAATGTGCTTGAGTTTCTAATAAAAATTTCAATGTGGTTATATTAGAAGCACTTCTAGCTTAAGCACCTTCTAGAGAAGCCATGTCACGAGTCCTTAATTAAACATAAGTAACTTATCATCTTGTCAAATATAAATTAATGATTTCCAATTTGATCAGTGACATTAGAGAAATTTACATTTAAGTGTGTCTTACACACCATTAATTAGAGACATATCTTAGGGGATGGCTTGAGCCTTGAGTGTTCTATAAACCACCTCATTTCAAGGAAATTTCTCTCTTCACCTATCATAGATGTAAGTGTTCTTGCCTGTTACGTGTGAAAGAGGCAATCATGGAGCAACAAGAAATAACATTTTTCTCTGCAACCGGAACAAGCTAGCATCGGTTTTGACAGAACCCGTCACCAATGCATTAGTTAAAGGTACATCAGAGTTGAATCCGTTCCTAATAGCAACACCGTGCCCACAACTTCCAAGTCCAAAATAAAAACTGAGAACTAACAAGTAGACCTGGCATTTTGGATCCGACCTGTTAACCCGACCCGACCCGTTAATATTAGTATTTGAGTGGATGCTTAATGGGTCGGGTCGCTAATGGGTGAACCCATTAAATAACGGGTCACTTTGGGTCAACCCTTTAGCACCCGTTAGTTGAGGATGTTTTAGTAATTTCAGTCAAGTCTTAACAACAAAAAATAAACTCTATGCAAAAAAAAAAATAATAATAATAATTGTTAACGGGTGAAACGAATGACCCATTAGCTTAACGGGTGGGGTTCGGTGACCCGTTAGCTTAACGGGTTGGGTTTGGATGACCCGTTAATTTAACGGGTCGGGTTGAACCCGACCAAACCCAATAAACCCGACCCGTTTACAGGTCTACTAACAAACGTATCATCGTTAGGGTTTACGTGTTTGTGCAATAAGTGGTTAGAGCTATGTTGTACAATTGAGAACAAGAATTTTTTTTTAATTTTCAATTTGTCATATAAACTAATTTTCAACTTTTAACACTCAATCCACCCAATCCTGAAATGTTGGTATGTGTCTGCATGGGACGTGACGGGTTAAGTACCGATCATGTGAAGGGTGTGTTCCTTAACATATCTAATTTTTTTATTGGATGGGATGTAACTATTGTCATGGCAATATTGGATAGTTGCAAAGCAGATAGTCATAAATACTGATAGTACTATATCCATAAAAATTAGGGTGTTACCATATTTTGTAATAAATTTATGCAATGCCATATACATGTATATTCATATCGCTCCACGCATTTCGTTTCTCTATAATACTTAGGCGATGACGTGACTTGGCCTTGACTATCTGAAAGCCAAGCCGCACAGCCTGCTGCACTCCCTCTAGTCTCCCAACGCTAGTACCAATTATTGATGTATACCATCAGTTCCGCCCATGGAACCGCTATCACAGCCTCTTCGTCTTGCCCATGCTGCTCAAACCGCTGGAAGAACGAGGTGTTCCTGAGCTTTAGAGGCAACGACACACACTACCTTCACCGACCACCTCTCCATTGTGTTACGCAATGTCAGAATCAACACATGCATAGACTACCAGCTCAGAAGACTGGAAAACATACATAGTGAACTTGACCAAGAAATCAAAGGATCGAGGAATACCGTCGTCTGTCTTCTCAAAGAGGTACACGGAGTCCGGATGGTGTCTGAGGGAGCTGGCCAAGATCATGAGGCGCCAAGAAGATCAAGAGGGGAAAGTAGTCTTCCAATATTGTACGACGTCGACCCTTCTCAAGTGAGGAAACAGCGGTATTTTTGGAAAAGCATTTCGGCAGCATGAAAGGGATGAAGATCCAAATGAGGTCGAGTAGTGGAGAAAGGATCTTAAGGCTTCTGCAGATTTGGGTGGCCGGAATCTTAACAAACGTAGTCGATTCATGTTTTATCGCCAATTCATGTAATTAGTCCGCATCATCTATGTCATCAACGACGACAAGCACCTTCATTCTTCCAAGTCTTTTCTCTATCTCTTTGGTTCCTTCGGCAACATTGCTCACATTAATGTCCACCCGTTTCAAAACATCTCGAAGAAGTTCTTGCAGAGCAACCATACTTTTCTTTTTTACTCCTGACCTTTTCAAGGTAACATTGACCACTATAACAACGATGATATTCGCCACAAATAGCTCCTGCATGCGTTGTTTTACCTAACCTCCCATACCCCAAATTCCAATTATTTGAACGTTAGGTGAACCTCCAACATCTAAGTATTCAGAACTAAATTCTTGCACGCAAAAATCCATTCGAACTAGAGCACTTGACTTGTTTTAAGTCTGTTGTTTTCAGTAGTTCCCCGATTTCCCCAACAATTTTCTCGATAGACAATCCTTCACGTCTGGCAATTAAAATTCAAAATTATACAACAGTAAAATTCATCATGCAACTGCAACATTCATATGAACTAAATGCCTCATTCATGATGACCAGGATATTTTCAGAGCAAAGAAGATTTGAGTAAATTAGATTGATCCATGTGATTAACTAAGCTAAATTTCAACAAAGTGTCGAAGATCAAATTCTACTTTCTTACTTTTTAGTCATACTTCGAGTTAAATTTTGTAAAATGGAATTAAAGATGCAGAGACCGATGTATAAATAAATTAAACAAAATAATAAGAAATTTTTTAAGGAAGTAAAGAAGAAATTATACCCGTCCGCCGAGGTTTTAAGATTCTGGCCACCCAAATCTGAAGAAGCCTTGAGATCCTTTCTCCACTGCTCGATGTCATCTGAATCTTCATCCCTGTCATGCTTCCAAAATGCCCCCAAAACCACCACTCTGTTTCCTGACGTTAGAAGGATCAACGTCGTAGAATATTGGATAGACTATTATGCCCTCTTGGTCTTCTCGGCACCTCATGATCTTCGACAGCTCCCTCAGCCTCAGGCACCATCGGAAATCTGGGTACCTCTTGGAAAAGACGACGACGGCGATCCTCGACCGATCGATCGATTTTTTGGTCAAGTTCGCTCTGTATATTTCCCCCCTTTTGAGCTGGTAGTCTATAAACGTGTTGATCCCGGCATTGCGTAACGCAATGGAGAGGTGGTCTGTGAAGGTGTTGCGGGTGTCGTCGCCTCTAAACCTCAAGAACACCTCGTACATCCAGCGGTTTGAACTACCGTGTAAATGGCGCGAGGGTGTTATTCCCACAATTTAATGGGCTCTCATGGTTAATAAGACCCAGGTCGAATTTGGCTACTTACAGTTTTTGAGCCCATTAATTTCTATTGGGCCCATTAATCTCTCACGTCTTAATTTTATTATGAATTTTTACTTTCTTACTTCCAAATTCCAATGCATATATTTAGCACATGTGGAATTTATGAGAAGCTAAAGGAAAGACGAAACGAGAAAAAGATCGATTAGTCTCCTCAGTTGATTTGATACCTTATCTTCAAGAATTGGATTGCAAATTTTAATGCGTATGTTAGCACATATGGAATCGAAACAGGGTGAGTTTCATATTTAGATTTGTAATCTAATTCTTAAGGTGAAAATTACACATTGATAAAATAAAATTGATCATATGATTTACACATCAATTACAAGCTTCCGCATCTCTTTAGGTTCCACTGAGGGCCTTTGGTTTGAGTGTTGTGTAGGATGCGGCTACAAGGAAGATGATTGGCCTGGGGAAGCATCACGATGGTCTTTACTACTTGACACAAGACCAACACCCACATCTAGCCTACAACATCTGCAAACACTTCAACCTTTGGCACCAACGTCTCAGGCATCTTTCCATCGGACCGCTTCAGGCCTTAAATTAAACCGTTCTTGATATTCATTTTGATTCTAGTCATATATGTGAAATTTACCACTTTAAACCTAAAGTGGTAAATTGTAATTTATCCTATAGTTTAAACTACCTATTAAGGAAACTTTTAATTACTTAGTAACGAAACTTCAATAAATTAAAAGTTATGTAGAATACAATAAATTACACACAAACGAAACACACTATTGTCTGACGGAGACTAGTTTATCTCTGGATCCAGAAGACAAGACAGTAATATTCCACACGTGGAGAAGGCCAATAAATTAATCTCAACTGAACTCACTTCCCACCCACCCACCGCCACCGTTCGCTTCCATCATATTCCCAAATCTCCCCACCTGCATCCTCTCAATTTCATCCTCCTCTGCCTTGCTCAACTCTATCTGCTTTGCTCTTCTACTGATTTCCTCTCTCTCCCCCCAATTCCCAATCATAAATCTAATCCACTCCCACTGAAAGAGTTCTCATCAGTGGCCATTTTAAAATTGTGGGGTTGTCGGTGTGTGCCTCTGGGATTTTATTCTTTGCCCCCTAAACAAAAGGCACGCCCTATATTTGTAGGATCCTCAACCGTGATTCCGGAGATGGGTATGTTTTCTGAAACCTACAGTACGAAGCAAGTCCTTTTATTATAGAAAGTCTTCATCTTTCTCCCTCTTCAATCATACAAAGTCTCCTTACTTCGTTAGTTTTTTGCATTTTTATCTAGACCAAAGCTTCCATCTTTACTTCAAATGTAGTCCTACGAATAAAGGATACCCTTTGTTTTGGTTAATTAGTCAGCTGCGGATTTCGATTTGGATGCCAATTGGCTGATCGATCCAAAACATCTTTTTGTTGGTCCGAGGATTGGGAAGGCGCATGCCAAAGTGTACGAAGGAAAGTAAGTACAACGTCTGTGTTTGTTTTGTCTTAGATTCTGAAATTCTGGTCTCTCAAGTTTAGCAATTTAATATGATGTCTTAGATCTTGTTAAATATAAATGCAAAATTGAGTTGGGTTTTTGCAGAACTAATCAAAGATCAAAACTTGATTTGGTGTTGTGCAATTATGGTGTTTATGATGCCGAATATGTGTTTTTCGTGTTGAGTTACAACGATGATGTTCTGTTCTGTTGTGTTCTTAATCTGTTTGTTTGTTGCGTTTTGTTTCTGAGGTTGTATTTGTGATTACTAAATATCTGATGGGGGATTTTTAACTTTGTGATTCTGAGGTTGTTTTTGTTTCTCAATCAAGGGGGCTTGAAAGAGTCGGATGTGGACAGCTTTGTTGATGACGTCCTTGTGAATGACAAACCATGGGCTTCCGTAGTGCAAGAGGCGTTGACTGGCTCCCATGTATTTGTATGTGCACATGGTAGTCGAGATAATAGATGTGGTGTTTGTGGACCTGTCCGCATTGATAAGTTCAAAGAGGAGGCTGAGCTGCGAGGATTGACGAATCAGGTATTTGTTACTGCTTGCTCTCACATTGGAGGCCACAAATATGCTGGAAACTTGATTATCTACAGCCCAGGTTCAGATGGAAGCATAACTTTACAGAGATGGAGAAAGCGAAGCAGATCTAGCGAATTGGATATAACGGCATTACCCTGTATGTGTTTCTGATTTGTAATGTTCTTCTGATTAATTGTTGTCAAATTGTGTATTAAGCATGATCATACCTGTTCTTACTCAATTGCTATTGACGAAACTTACAGTTGAATCTTTAAATAACTGAACACGAAATTCAATTTCATTCCTTACAGGGGGCAAATGGGAGTATCTTCTGATGAAGCTGAAAAAATTAATGACCTGAAGCTTCCAAATGGAGGAGAAAGTAAGAAAATCAAGGAGAAGCCCCAAGAAAACAGCAATCAGATTCAGAAGAATGAGAACTTTTCAGGCTGTTGCAAGGGGCTAATAGTAATGGATTTACATGCTGCAAAGAAGTAAGTTTGTAGCAGAATGTGGAAGTGAGGAAAAGAAGCTAAAAGAAACCAGAGAGTCGTGTGCCAGGAAGGATGCCTTAGGGAGGCTGTCAAGCTTGATCGGGAACTGGGAGCAAAGCGATGTCCTCGCAGCTGCTGCCTTGGTTGGAGCAGTCGCAACAGCGGCAGTGGCCTATAGCTTTTATAGAAGGTCAGGCTGAAACATACTCTAATCCATGTCGGGTTTCTGCCACAGGTGTGGAGGCCTATAGCTTTTGTAGAAAGATGTTATAACGTCAATTAAATAAGCTCTTACATGAAAGGAGAACATGGTAGCTACACTAAAAACGTTCATTTTTGGAGGGTGGGATGATTTCCCGAAGCTAAGCCATATACAGTTACAAAAATATTCACTATTCCTTTCCGTAGTTGATTGCTTACACAACTGATGTGTTGTTCCAATATACTGTTGAATGGATTTGTTATGAGACTGCTTTGACGTGGTGTTTTCTAAGCTCTTGTGATTGTTTTCGATTTGCCTGCTGTTGATTCTATCAAAATTTATGATAATTTTTGTCAAAGAAGTCTAAATTTCAAAAGAGAGAAAAAGACGGCGTTCTCCTCGTAGATAGCAAAGCTCAGAGTTTGGTCGAGATCATCGTCCACTGCTGATCTTTGCAAGCATCTCCTCCACGCCTCAATACCGTTGTACTCATCCCATCAGCTCTTTCTCCTCCCCCACCGCCGCCCCCCCCGGCGGGGCGCCGCCGCAGCATCGATGTCCTGCATAATCTGCTCTATATCCTTATTCCTCGACCGCTTGTTTCTCGAACCATAATTGGAACAGTCTTTCAAGAGAAACAGCAACTCCTGTGCCGTGGCTTTAGCCGTCCACGTCCCATCCACGCTCAGCCGAAGCAGTCTGGGCATTGCTCTTCTCTCAGTATTAGTCCTCTGTACGTCTCTCTGCAGCTCTGACATATAGGCAGGAAGATACTCGCAGCGTGCTCCTTGCATTTCATCGATTCCTTTTCAATGGTCTCAACCAGCCCCCAGACTATGTCGCAAATACCTGCAGTTTCCTTGAGCGCAGTCTTCGATGAAGAAACAATGTCGTCAAGTAGTGTAATTGCCTCCTCAACTAGTTGGCTTGATTTTTCCAAGCCCTGGATTATTTGTTACAACGAAAACACTACGCCCGAAGAGACGGAGACGGAATAGTCCGATGGCAGGTTGAGAGGTTGTGTAGTGTGGCTATGCTGTCGAGTCTGGCTTGCACACCGATGCCTCCTGCATAATCTTGATCGAGAAATTCAACTACTGTTCCCATTGATTGGTAAAGTAAACTGGAGATGATGACTCTTCCCATTGATACTCTCTAGACTGACTCCAACGGTTGGAACTTGCTCTCCACCGAAGATTCTTATAACGCTGTCGTGACGTCAAGTCAACTGGTCAAAGTTGGCGGCAGATTTCTCAAAAAACTACAAAAGGAAGGAAATTGCATCGTAAACTGTGGTGGAAAAGCACTCACGCGTGTTCGACATGGCAGTGACATCATTGGACAAAGATTGTTTGCTTTTTTTATTTTCTATGTTCTTCTATTTGTGTAGTCACGATTAAATCATTTTAACATTTTATATTATTATTTATTTTTATCTTATTAATTTTATAAAAAAATAATATAAAATATTAATATAATTTCGTATAAAACAGGAAAATATGAAAGCACACGAGAAGTGATAGGCAGAAAAATCCTTGTCCGACATCATTGGCCCATGCAAAAAATTTAAAAGGGCCACCGACACTGGGTAATCTTAGGTTAGACTTGACTTTGGTTATTTGAAAGCCAAGCTACACTTCTACAGGCTGCAATGGATACCAGCAGCTCCGCCCATGGAGCCGCCGCTGCCGCCTCTTCGACTTCCTCGCGGAGCTCAAACCGCTGGAAGTACGAGGTGTTCCTGAGCTTTAGAGGTGGCGACACCCGCAAAACCTTCACAGACCACCTCTTCATTGCGTTACGCAACGCCGGAATTAACACGTTTATGGACAACCTGCTCACAAGGGGGGAAAACATACAGAGAGAACTTGACCGAGAAATCGAATTGTCTAGAATCGCCATCATCGTCTTTTCGAAGAAGTACGCGGAGTCCCGATGGTGCCTGAGGGAGCTATCGAAGATCATGAGGTGCCTAAAAGATCAAGAGGGGAAAATAGTCTGTCCAATATTCTACGACGTTGAACCTTTTCAAGTCAGGAAACAGAAAGGTAGTTTTGGGGAAGCATTTCAGACGCATGAAAAGGATGAAGATCGAAATGAGGTCAAGCAATGGAGAGAGGATCTTAAGGCTTCTGCAGAGTTGGGCGGCTGGAACCTCAAAACCACGGCCGACGGGTATACTTTTTTGTTTACTTCAAATTTCATATCACCATATTTCACTAATCAACCAAAGTTAAGATATTATACTTAAGGCATTGAATCTGATTTTATATGTGATGAGAAAAATTGGATCGTTGATCTCTAAACTATGATCGAACTGTAATTTTGGTCCCTACATAAAAATTTATTACAATTGGTATATGAATTTTATTAAAGGTAGAGCATTTGCATAAGAATTTCGGTCAAAATTAAGGAAGTGAAACGCCGGGTACATGCTTTGTTTTTTATGGGTGTGTGAAGGACAAATGCTCCACACTTTATCAAATTAAATACCAATTTTAATAGATTCTTAATTATATTACTGAAAGCTACAATTGCATAATAGTCCAATCACCAATGATCTAATGTATTCACATTATAATTAAAGATTAGATACTTGGTTGAATTGAGCTCAATTAATCCAGTGTATTCAAATCTGTTTCAATATGTAAATATCTAGTCATTATGAATAAGGCATTTAGTATGGCTCTCGTAATCTGGAATTTCTACTTATAGGTGTGAAGGGGTGTTTATTGAGAAAATTGTTGGGGACGTCAAGGGGCTACTGAAAACCACAGACTTTAAAGAAGCCAAGCACTCAGTTGGAATGGCTTTTCGTGTGCAAGAATTCAGTACTAAATACTTAGATGTTGGAGGTTCACCTGATGTTCGAATAATTGGAATTTGTGGTATGGGCGGTATAGGTAAAACAACGCTTGCTAGAGCCGTTTGTAGCAATAATCAGCATAGTTTTAGTCGTCACTGTTACCTTGAAGATGTGAGGAGTAAAAAGAAAGAGATGGTTAGTTTGCAAGAACAACTTCTTCGAGATATTTTAAAACAGCCTGACATTAAGGTAAGCAATGTTGCTGAAGGGACCAAAGAGATCAAGAAAAGACTTGGAAGCATGAAGGTACTTGTCGTGGTTGATGACATAGATGATGCAGACCAATTAGATGAATTGGCAATAGAACATGATTCATTTGGTCCAGGGAGCAGAATTATTATAACAACAAGAGATGAACATGTGCTGAATATACAAAAGGTGGATAAAAAATATAAGGCACAAGCAATGACAAAGAAAGAAGCTCTTGAGCTCCTTAGTTGGCATGCCTTTGGAAATGATCATCCCGATAAAAAATATATTGAATTGGCAAGAGATATTGTTGATTATTGTGGAGGATTGCCCCTAGCTCTGAAAGTTGTTGGTCGTTTGTTGGCTAAGAAAAAGAGTAAAACCATATGGAAAGGTACATTGGATAAATTGAGAAATATTCCAGATGAAAAAATTTATGAAAAGCTTAAATTAAGCTACGATGGGCTACCTGATGGTCATGTGAAGGGTGTGTTCCTTGACATATCTTGTTTCTTTATTGGAGTGGATATAAGTATTGTCACGGCAATATTGGATGGTTGTAGTCATTTTTCTGTAGAAGCAGAAATTACCACACTCTGTGATCGATGTCTCTTATATGTTGGTGAAGATAAAAAATTGAGGATGCATGATTTGATTCGAGATATGGGAAGAGAAATTGTGCGGGCAGAATCTCCTGTGGAATTTGGAAGACGTAGTCGATTGCGGCATAGTGAAGATGCAAAAATCGTGCTAAGGAACAAATCTGTAAGTACTTTTGCGATAAAAAGATGTTATGTTAAGTACATGTAAAGAAAGAGAAGTATATACGCATATCCGCATATATATATATATATATATATATATATATATAATGTATGCCGTACATAGTATATTTGAAGAAAAAGAAGAAAAGAAAAGCTGTCATCCACTGTAAATTGAAGGAGAAAATACATAATTATTTTGTTTGCCCTACCTTTCTAGTAGTTCATTCATCCAATTCACGGCTCTGCTTCGTGTGAATATTATCCTTTTCTTGTTTTTTTTTATCTCTAACAGGGAACAGGAGCAGTTGAAGGACTACGCTTATATTCTGATGACGAGCAAAGCTTCAGTACGGAAGCGTTTAAGAAGATGTGGTGTCTGAAATTTCTCATGCTGGAAAACGTAAAGCTGACTGGAAGCTACAAACATCTTTCCAAGGAGTTAAGATTGTTGTATTGGATTGGATTTCCTCATGAAGCCATACCAGCAGATTTTGATCAACGAAACCTAGTTTATTTAAATCTGAGCAACAGCAAGATGGTACGAGTTTGGGAGGATTCGGAGCTGGTACGATATAATTATCAATGTCCTTGTAAATATGAACATCAGTCATCGTCATGCATTCTCTCTTTTATTTATTTGGATTTTTATTATTGTTTTCTCTTTTTGAGTAACAGTTGCCTAAGAAGTTGAAGTTTCTCCATCTTAGACACTGCCATAACCTGACTGAATTACCAAACTTTTCAAAACTCCCGCATCTCGAGGTATTGGACCTCAGCGGCTGTAAGGGTTTGTGCGGGGGTTTCCATTTTTTAGCACAACTGAAGACGATTGAGGGATTAAATCTCAGCGACTGCAATATAACAGATGGTGCCGTTCTCGAAATAATTGGGACTCTATCTTCTTTAACAGCTTTACGTCTAAGTAGGAATGGTTTTAATAGGCTACCCATTCTCAGTGGCCTTTCTCAGCTTCAGAGTTTATATCTAGATCATTGCACAAACCTTCAGGCAATCCCAGATTTGCCGAACAGTTTGCTTTTACTGAAAGCGAATTACTGCACTGCACTGGAAATAATGTCCGACTTTTCAGAGATGTCGAAAATGAGGGTATTGGAACTGAAAGACTGCCGCAAACTCAAAGATATTCCAAACTTGGAGAGCTCATTGGACTACATGGATTTAATTCATATGGAAGGGTGTACCAGTCTCACTGATACTTTTAAGGAGAACCTCCGAACGGTATGGTACTCTCTCTCTCTCTCTCTCTCTCTGCTTTTTGTATTGTTGCTTATACTGACTTTGCACCCCATGTTGTAGAAAAATGCATTTGGTGGAATTTTTCTCTCCGGAAATGATATTCCTAACTGGTTAGCCTATGTCGCGGGAGAGGATAAAACTGTCAAATTTACAGTGCCGCCAAGTATTGATTATATAGGAGGGTTGGCTTTGGGCATCGTTTATTCTTCAGACAACTCCGACTCAACTGGGTCTCTATGCATTGATGTTGTTAATTGTACCCAGCGAACTAATTTTCGCAACTGGCCAATGAAGGCCACCGTAACTGCTTCCCATGAATATTATCTTTGGTTGGGAAATCTTTCAAACAAGAAGCTCAATCTGAAAGGCGGCGACATAGTTCTTGTAAAAGCAAAATTTTATGGAGGAGATAATAGAATTAAGGTGAACAAAACAGGAGTGGATATGGTAAAATGGGATTTGCCTGATGGTCTTGCTAATTGGGACAACTATAAGACTATGCCATATGAGTCTGATGAAGACACTGATGACGATACACAGTTGGACATTTGCCACATTTTCCTCTGCTACAAGACCTTCGAGGCTTGGCCGTGGTGCATCAAAGGCTCTGAGTCCGATCCGCTCCCTAAGTTCTTTGCTTCCGCTCTCAAAGCTCGCAAGAATGACATCACCTTTAAGGTCCGTTTTCCAGCTCAATTCGTCAGCGTTTCTGCCGTTTCTTATTTCCTGGAGCTACTGAGTTCTGGTGTTGAGTTGAGTTGACTCCGTTACTCATTTTTTTTCTTGGTTTTTTATAGACGTTGCTGACAGTAATTGAAGGACACAAAGGAACTGAGTTTTCTGACGGCGATGTGTTGATTTTCCCACAAATGATCAAATACAGGTAAATTCGCGTTGATTTCTTAAGGTCTTTGTTCTGTAGTTGCTTTAATTTTAATCCGAATTTATGGGATTTAGATAAATAACCAATGTGTGGTTAATTTTAATCCAATTCATAACGATGAACTGAAACCGCAGTAGAGTATTTCTTAACAATACAACAATAATAAGAATAAGTATATTAAGCAAGCTTGAGAGGTAAGGAAGAGAACAACAATGTTGCACTGGTGTAATCTGAAGCAATTACTTAAAACTATTCAAGATGGCACATAAAAGCTTAACTTGGTGGATGAAAAAAGTTCAAATGGTGGTTTGATTATGGAATACTGAGAGTGTTGTCTAACCTATAGCTACATAGAAGAATGCCATGTAAAATTGCTTACGATGGAGAGACTAAAACATGAGCCGACCCATGTTCCCACCCGAGTGCTATTAAAAAACTGAGTCATACTATTAAAACTAAGTCATATACTATTGAAACGAATTATTTCATTAATACAACCAACACTTCCAATATCAAAAGAGAAAGAAATAACAGTATACGACGCATTAGCCAAAAAGTGCCACATTACATACCATTAAATAACAGCAGCTAACTCCTGATATAACTGCTGGAAGAAAAACCTTGCCTGATGCAAAACAACAATTAAATCGAAAGAGTAAGTTTTAGTTATATTATGACTGACTGTTTATGTAAAAATGCTTCAGACCTAACTTTCCCTATCTGAAACTAAACGAAAATTGAGATGGATTCCATTTCAGGGGACATTCAGAGATCCCATATTTGAGACTCTACACTAAAATCATTTCCAAAGAAATTTTATCTGCATTTGAAACTACTTTATCTCATCCTCACTAAATCTGCCAGCACTGCATATTCTCTCGAAGAGTTCTCACCCAGCCGTGTACTCCATCACAATGGCTACATGAGGTGGTGTGAGCAGAACCAGCAAGAAAGACACCGCACTACTCTCAAGTCTTAAACACAAACCTCTATCAATTATCTCAAATAAGCCACTCTAAAGACTATTTCCACTTCACAGTAAAAACAAAGTGCAGGAAGTATAGCTCATATTTTTAGCTTACAAACCCTAAACCAAACGAGTAGAGAACTCAAACAAATGGAGAAGATTCTCCCAAATTGCTCTCTAACTCACAAACTCACAAATTGACTCTCACCAAATTGCTACACGAATGAGCCACACGAAATACACTAACCCTAAGGTCCTATTTATAGTGCATAGGACTTAGGTTACAATAAGAATCCTAATAGGAAGTAAATCCAAATCCTAATCAAATAGGTAATTAACAAAATCTCTCCACCAAGGAAACCAACTAAGAAGTCAAAATCCAAACCCAAATAGCACACCAAAACCAAATAGGTAACACAAAACTAATTTTTTGCACCGTCCTAATTTTGAAGTGGTGTGAGCAGAACCAGCAAGAAAGACACCGCACTACTTTCAAGTCTTAAACACAAACCTCTTTATCAGTTATCTCAAATAAGCCACTCTAAAGACTATTTCCAATTCACAGTAAAAACAAAGTGCAGGAAGTATAGCTCATACTTTTAGCAGAGTTATTTTGACAACAATTCTGCAAGTGGTGGATTGCCCCGGTGGGTAGGGCATTTCTCTTAGTCCTACTGCATCCCGGGCTCAAAGTCTAACTATCCCCCGTACCAGTTTAAGCACACCAGAGGCCAAATTTAGTGTTCTGTCTTCATCCACCCACCCTCAGCAGATACTTAAAATACAAAATGAAAATAGTTTATGATCACTGACCTTTTGGAATCAAATGATATTCGGATGCAGTGATCTGTGGTTCATGATTTCCCTTTGAACATGTTCATCTACCTGCATCACAAAATATTTAAAATTTAAAAAAATACAAGGTTTAAAGGATGAGAAATAAAGAAAATTCAGAAAAAGGGAAGATATGAGAGTTGAAGAAGACAGAACCAAAACTCGATGTCACCCTCTGCCTCTCTGCACAATCCCCTTGATGAAACCCACGCTGAATTGCAGAACACAAACGCCCCAAATGGTGGCCGTTGGATTAGGACTGAAGGGGCCAAAAGAGTCATGTGATCTTTCGGTGAAAACCAGCCCAAAACGCGTGAGAGCTGCACCCTGAGCCCAAATGCAGCAGCCCAACCCAGCTGTTAAGCACGGCCCACACTAGCACACAATGGCAAATCATAATTAATTCATAATCAAGGGCCCATTCCATAACCAACATGAATTTACTGACCTAAATAGATAATTAGATATGTGTTAGCTTCTGAAATTAGTTCTAGAAATTGAATTTAATGACTCAGTTTACGACTAATTCCTTGCCTGTAAATCCTATTTTGTGATTCTGAGGTTGTTTTTGTTTATTGATCAAAGGGGCTTGAAAGAGTCAGATGTGGACAGCTTTGTTGATGATGTCCTTGTGAATCACAAACCATGGGCTTCCCGAGTGCAAGAGCCGTTGACTGGCCCCAATGTATTTATATGCGCACATATGAGTCGAAATGAATGGAATCGTTATCGTGCATGTGTTCTCATTGATAAGTTCAAACAGGAGGCTGAGCTGCGAGGGTTGTCGGATCAGGTATTTGTTACTGCTTGCTTTCACATTGGAGGCCACAAGTTTGATGGAAACTTGGTTATCTACAGCCCAAGTTCAGATGGAAGCATAATAGACCATTGGTAATATCTGCATCATAACAATTTAAAATTTGTCGTATTGGGATCGATGAAGGAGTTTGAATATTATGTATTATTAATCGCAGGTATGGCTACATCTTTCCTAGTGATGTGCCGGAATTGCTTGATCAGCATATTGGGAAGGGAGAGATTAGAGAACGACATTGGAGGTTTGTATGTTTTTGGTTTTGCGTACTGTCTTTGGATGAAAATTTCACTAGACAGAAGCTTGTGTTGTCGTATTTTTCAATTGCTGATTATTTCTAGTCTTGTATGATAGATTTATTGATATAGAGTTACATTAACATGGAGTAACTTTTGTGGAGAAAGCACAAAAAAATTGGATATAATTGCATTACCCTGTATATGTTTCTGATTTGTAATGTTGTTGTGCTTTGTTATTAAGCTTGATCATACCTGTTCTTACTCAATTGCTATTGACGAAATTTAGAGTTGAATCTTTACTTAGCTGAACACGAAATTCAATTTCATTCTTTATAGGGGCCAAATGGGAGCATCTTCTGATGAAGCTGAAGAAATTAATGACCGTGAGCTTCCAAATGGAGAAGAAAATAAGAAAATCGAGGATAAGCCACAAGAAAATAGCAATCAGATTCACCAAGAAAAGGGCAATCAGATTGAGAATAGTGAGAACGGTGAAAGTGAGGAAAAGCAGTTGAAAGAAACCAGAGAGTCCAAACCATCACTTGTTTATGAGCCTATGGATATGCATGGTTCTGCAATCTGGTAGGTTTGTCCGTAAAAAGCAAGCTTCTCTTAATTACTCAAGCTTTTCTTCAGAAGTTATTTAAATTTTTTTTTAAAGGAACTGAATTATAATATTGATAGTTGACATTCTTTTCCATGCATTATATAATACCTAAGTTCCATAATACATAAATTTCAAAACTTAATTCACTTTATAATATATATTATGGAGTCTAAGCAGATCTTTTCATTCTCGTGTGCCAGCGCCTTAGATGATGCCCTTGGGGAGCTATCAAGAAGGATCCAAGACTGGCTATGAAGATGGATACGGATGCTGATACAACGATATGACACGACACAACACGGCGATACGGAAAATCTTTAAAAATTAAGATACGATATGCTATGGATATGGCAAATAAAAATGTTTATAGCAACAAAAATAAACATTTTAAAACATAATTCATCATTCAAATTCAAGTACATGGTTTTAATTAGAGGGAAGCTCTTTGTATTGTAGAAGAAATGTGAGAGTCGTATTCATGGTTTTAATTAGAGGGAATCTCTTTGTATTCAGCAACTTTTAATTATAGATGCCTCCTATTAATTTTCTCCTCCTCATTACCTTTTTTGAAAGTGTAAATGTATCCTAAAAGCCGGATATGTGTATCTTAAATGGAGGATACGCGTATCCATCATGTCAAATTCGTGTCCATCAACCAGGATACATGTCGGACGAGTATCTGAGAGTATCGTATCCAATCAAGTATCAGATACGGGATACGAGACCAAACAGAAGTGTCCGTGCATCATAGACTAGGAGTAAAGCGATGATCTCACAGCTGCTGCCGTGGTTGGAGTAGTGGCAACAACATTGCTGTTGCCACAACGGACGACAATTCTACCCGTTAAACCCAATAACCGTGGATAACCACCCAAATGGATTAGATTTGGGTATGAAAATTCGGGTATATTTTGGGTATGGGGAAAAATCATAAATATTATTTGGTTATGGTTTTAGATATGGTTATAGGGGTCTCCAATTTGTATCCGTATCCGAATCCGAACCGAATAATATATATAATATTAGAGTATTATAATATATATATATATATTCATTATTTACTGAATCCATTATCTTGAGAATACAAAAATTGCATTGTGTGAGTTGCATTTTGTACATAAGTTCAAAAGTTTAAATATGAATCAAAATCTATGAAATTCAATGGTGTTTAAGGTTCGACAAAAAAAAAAAAAAAAAAAAAAAAAAAAAAAAAAAGAAGGTACTTATGGAAGATATTAAAGATCAGCCAACATTATTAATGTTTAGCTTTAATTTTATGCTCTACAAGATCTTCTGCCTTTCTGTACAATCTCCTTGATGAGCCTCCCACCGAATTGCAGAACACAAACGCCCCAAATGGTGGCCGTTGGATTAGGACTGAAGGGGGCAAAGGAGTCATCTGATCTTTCGATGAAACCTAGCCCAAAACGCGTGAGAGCTGCACCCTGGTCCCAAATGCAGCAGCCCAACCCAGCACGGCCCACACAAACACACAATGGCAAACCAAAATTAATTCATAATCGAGGGCCCATTCCATAACCAACATGAGCAGTGCAATTTTATTTTCCTAGTTTAGACTGAAGTAATTTTTGTTTCGACTTCTCTTTTGATTACGAGATTGTGCTGAATATATTGAACTAAATAGATGATTAGATATGTGTTAGCTTCTAAAATTAGTTCTAGAAATTGAATTTAATGGCTCAATTTACGACTGATTCATTGCCTGTAAATCCCTTTTTGTGATTCTGAAGTTGTTTTTGTTTGTTGATCAAAGGAGCTTGAAAGAGTCGAATGTAGACAGCTTTGTTGATAATGTCTTTCTGAATCACAAACCATGGGCTTCCGGAGTGCAAGAGCCGTTGACTGGCTCCCATGTATTTGTAGGTGCACATGGTAGGTGCACATGTTGTTTGATATAGTTAAGGAAGGTGATGATCCAACTCTTCAACAGCCCATATCTTCGTAAGGATCATTTAGTTCAGTGTTTAAATTATTGACTCGTTATTTTTTTATATATTTTTTGTTGTTAGGTCACCTAATCACCAAATGTATTGCAATACCTTCTTTTGTTTCGTTGATATAATATTTGCCTTTACATTTTATTTCCAGCGGGACGCTTGCTTGATATTTCCAAGTAGATGGTATGGTTCTTGCTTATTGGGACCAAAATATTAGCATGTCTTTTTATCTTTTAGTGAATACAACGATTGTTTAAAATAAAGAGTAGTAGATCTGAACTAGGAGAGCGACAACTTTTTCGTGTGTTGAAATATAATTTGGTACATCAAGTGGCATCATACAAGTAGTTGAATTTTTCTTTTTAAGTTTCCAACCATTTGCGTGATGACATTTGGTATACCGAGCTGTGTTTTTAGTACATTGAAAAATATCACCTAAAAAACGCAATAAAATATGTATCATAATAATTTGACATCAAACTTAAAACCTCTCACATGTCTATTTGCCTTAACCTTTGTACTCTCACATATCTCTTTGCCTTAACCCTTGTACTTCAGTCCATTTCCCTCCAACCTGATATCTAAGTCACACATCCGTATTGTCTCTGTCATATTTGTCACATTCAAGTTTCAGAAGCGCCACAGTAATGTGTTTTACTTTCTAACTAGCCTTCATGCGCGTTCACACACATGTGGGGAAGACATTTTTTTAATCACGGCGTGTTACGCGCGACTTACACGTTTTAAATGTATTTATATGCGTAAATTGACAAAAAGAAAGTCAAATATTTGAAGTGAATAAATAATCAATTAAAGTAGCTGAATACACATAATAAAATCGATCTCTATTGAATTTACATTAAGAATAGAGAAAATAATATTTAATAAACAACTGATGTCAATTATTGCTAGCTTATTGTGAGGCTAAGCCCGCCCCCTCCTCCTTAGTATAGATAATATCGTTTGTTCAAAAAAAAAATCATTTGACAACTAATTCAATTACATTATTATGCGCGTGCGAAAGACCTTTTTATAACCAGCATTACATGCTTCTTAAAATGTTTTGAATATGTTTAAAAAAATAGAGAAAATAATATTTAATGAACAACTGATTGAATCACATTATTGCTATCCTATTGTGAGATACTAATTATACCCCTACCATTTTTAATGTATTATTTTGTGTTGCTTTTGAATTTTTTTCTTTGAGGAGCATTTCTGTCCAATTATTTTTTGTGAAGCTTGTGATCCCATAAATTTCATTGGTGGGCTTGGCTTTATATATAAGAAGATAAGACATTGGTTATTCAATTATTGTGATGGGTTTTTGGCCTTAGTGGCTACCAAAAGGGCACTTTCTGGAAGCTGCAATTGTATCATTGTGTTGTATTCGTCTTCTTATCGCCCATTTTACATTTCTTTTCTTCAACAACATTTTCTTATCCTTCATAGAATCTACGAAATAAATGTCACAAAACACATATCTTCCATTTTCTTGCAGAATTGTTCTTAGTTAATTTAGTTAGAGCAATGTGTGTATGTTTTATGTTTATGCACATCTTGAAAATATTATGTGAAATCCCGTTCCTAGATTTCACTGTTATAAATTAAAGTATTTGTATTATTGAGATTTTATATTATTTTTCGAGAATTTATATTAATTTATTTGAATTTAGGTTTTAATTAAACTAGTTATGAGGGTTGAAGTTTCAAAATTAATTATTTAAATTCCGTAGAACTTTTCGAGGTCATAATTTATATTTTCGAATATAGCTCGATCTCACGAACGCGTAGGTGAAAACCGTTCGTGAAATGGTGTTATAACAAAGAAATTAGAGACGTTTTAGTTGTTGGGAAATAAATAAATAAATGTTTAGAAGCTGCCAAGTGGCAACAGAGGGGAGAAAGGAGAGAATGCAAGAGAGAAAAGGGGAGGAGCAGCCCAATCAGAAGGGAGAGTAAGGAGGGGAAAGGAGAGAGACCCGAGTTAGGTCATTTTTGACCCATGAACGATCATTTTTGACTAGGCCATATCTCCTTCATCCAATTTCCGTTTTTGGTGATCTTGGTATCCATGGAAATCTCTTGATGAGTCCTACATCCCTGTAGTGTTAGATTTCCATTTTTCTTTTCCATTTTTCTAGTTTGAAGCCACAAATTACTGGGGGTTTTCCGGCGAGTTTTCTCATGTTACAGTGATTTCGACAACGATTACTGCCAATCACCATCACCAATAGACTCCCCTCAACCCCTGGAGCAAGGCCCAAGCATTGGATGAGGTGTCGGAGTTCATTTTGGCGATGAATCGAGGAACACCCATTTCTAGATTTTCTGACGGGTTCGAGGGCAAATGGAGCTTTTCCGGGTCAAATTGGACTTGGCCGCATGTATGAAACTTATTCCAATCACTGAGATCTATTTGCCTGTAAAATTTGGTAATTTTTTGAAATAGTTGAATTTTCCGCCGAGTCGGGGCAGCCGACCGCCACTCATGGCGGCGCATGGCTAGTGGGCCGACGATGTCTTTCTAAGTCCAATTAGATGCCTTGAATTCATAATTGATATCCGTATGAAGTGGTTTGATTGTTTGAACCTAGTTTCATTATGATACATCACTTGATCAAAATTTGAATCGACAACCCGACCATTGGATCATTACCAAACTTTAATACCTTATAATACATAATATTTTAGGACCATAGAAACTTACGGATCGGGGATCCGACATACAGATCTTCCCGAATTGAATTTCTAAGTTTGTAAAATCAAACGTTGGCCGCCACTTGAATTTGTAATTGGCGAATATCTGACCGTTAATCATGACGAAATTTTAGTATATTGTTTTTGAAGCATAATGTTGATTTTAGAAAGTTACGGATCCGAAATCCAATGTGCGAATCTTCCGGATCGAATTAGGTAGAATTGTGAACCCTACCGTTGACCGAGAGCAGACTTTTGGTCAAAAAGTCTTGAAACATTCTAAATGCTAAAATTAGTACTATGGGAGACTAAGTGAAGTCTAGTGGGCCTACATTGGTTAGAGAGTGACTTGAATTATGTGATATGGTTATTATCTTAATTTCTTATATTAGTATCATTTGTGAATATGAATTGGTCTTATAAATGTGATTTCTATTGAAACGTGATTTTTATATATTTTGCCATGGACCTATATTTATTAAACATGATTTCGTTTGTGTACTGATGATGATTGTGATATATATGTGGCTAATTATCTTTTTAGTAATGTAAATTATAAGTATGATAAATGTTACGATATTGTGAGCCTAACATCCTAGTAGAAGTGTTCTGTAGATCGTATAGGTTTGTGTACACATGGTAGTTAGTGATCATGAGGAATTGATGGTGCAAGTGATTACGATGTAAATCATAGAGGTTGAGATACGAGTAAGTGGATTGGGTGTTGATCTATCTGCACTATGTAGCAGAGGTATATGGATGGTCCTGCTTGGTATATCCGCGTTGGGGGACCATACGTATTCAAGGGTGATCATACTTGGTATATCCACGTTGGGTGATCACTGCTTGCACGATTAGACTACGCTTATGGTCCTGCTTGGTATATCCGCATTGGGGGA